ACATGAATCATAATTTCTCAGAATGATTGTAGTAATAATCCATGTCATAACTCGGAAGAACAGGACAGTATCAAACCAATTGTACAACTCTAAAACAGCTGAAACAATAATCCCAAAATCAACTTGAAGATAAATCAAAATGCAAACTCACATGCAGAAGACAGAGAATAAATTAAATTTGAAAAAAAGAAAAAAAAACTAACTAACCTCTGGAGTAATCTCAGAAACCCCATTTGAAAGTGGCTGAACTGCAGCCATTTCTGTAATAAACCCCACGAAATCAAAAGAAGAATCCAAGATTTAAGAGTGAATCAGAGCAGAAAGCGAGAAAAGAAGGGGAAGAGTAAAAGGAGTGGGAAATTTATGGATTCATTTATTATTATTATTTTTTTAATTTTAATACGAGTTTTTTAAGGGGAAAACAATGATACTCTGGGAAGACGATGGTCTGGAATCTGATCTGGCTGCTGCTATGCTAGCTTCCAACCTGACGAAGAAAGTGGGCTTAAAAGGCCCATTTACAGTGCACTTGAAGCAATGATGGGCCCACCTCTCCACAGAAAAGCCCAAAATCTTTTACTCATTTTCCGTGCATGGTGGGATCCACGCGCTCGATAATGCATCAAAACGTTGAATTTCGTTCACGTATTTTGTATTTGTAATTTCTGAATAAATTATTTATATATAAGAAAAATTTATTAACACAAATGTATAACTACATATAAAGAAATAACTGAAGTGTTATGCAAAATTAATGGTTGAAGAAATTAATTAAAAGTAAAAATGAACGGACTAAAATTATCATTTTTTAAAAATACGGGAATTAAAATAGAAATTTTGAAAATATATATACTCAAATGAACAAAAATTAAAATTATATGTACAAAAATGAATATTTTAAAATATGGTGTTCTAAAATAAACCAAAACTAAAGTAAAGCGACTGAAGTAGTATTTAAACTTTTTTAAGACTAATTTCTATAGCATATAAATCGACTAAAAGAAATAAGAGAGAGAGGTTAACGTTGACTTGCGAATTTGTAAAGAGAGGTGTAGCTATTTTCAAGCTGATTTGTTACAACTTTCTGTTACTAAAAGTTGGAGTTTACTTCAAAATGGGACTTGTTTTTCAACATAAACTTTGGTTAGCTTAACATGTGGACTTTGTGTGAAGTCTACTTACTAGTTAGTTTTAGATTTCTTAATTTGAAATTTTTTAACAGTGGGTTGAAAAAGGTAAATCAACCTTCAATTTATGCCTCTATTTTGACATGCTGCTACGATGTTATACGTGCTCGTCTTGATATATAGTTTAGACTTCTTTATTTATGCTTCCAATCAGTTATTGATGAGAAATTTCTCCCTCTGATTCTTCATTCGTTTTGTCTTGATTTGACAATCACATGTCCACCAGGCACCAATAAAATGATCCAAGAAAATCTATCCGTCTTGTTTCAAGTCTATCCGTCTTGAAATATTATATAATAAGTTAAGAGATAATATATTGGGAGAGCTATTTTAAAATCTTAATTACATAGATGTGTTTAGTTTTCAAAATTTACACTTTTAGATATTTGCAGTTAGGATTTTATTTTATTACCGTTTCTACCCTTATTTATTGCTTTTTATTTTATTATAATTTTTAAATTTTAAAGATTTGAATCCTTAATTTGTAATTATATTCATTTAATTGTTGTGGGCCCCATTCAAAATTTAAATTAAATGAATATTTTTGCTGCCGATTCGATTTCCTCGTTTGCTTCCGATTTTCTCCAACCATCTTTTTTGTTTACTGCTGTCTTCGTTTCCAACGTGCAAAGACGTCGACGGCCAGACCTTCATTTTCCATCTTCAGGGATTTTATGAACAATGTATTTATTTCTTTTGCACGTTTCCAACGACGTTCATTTTCCATCGCTGAATAAAGTTTCTGTTGACAACGTGTTCCTCGTCTCCTGTCCCCTTCTGTTTTTACCATTGATACTTATTAGTGTTCCGTTAAGATTGGTATATATGGGGATATTTTTTATGTATGTGTACAGAAAATGGAAGTTCAAAACGTCTCACAGTCTTAGTATTCCTGATTATATTCGTATATATAGGTATATATTGTATATGTGAATATATCTTATATGTGTATACATATATCTTATAGTTCTGTAGAAAGGGTCCTCCATACCATTTGTAATTATTAGTCTTCCGTTAAGATTGGTATATATGAGGATATTTTGTTTATGTGTATAGAAAATTGAAGTTCTAAGTGTCTCATATTCTTAGTATTCCTGATTATATTCGTATATATAGGTATATATTGTATATGTGTATATATCTTATATGTGTATATATCTTATAGTTGTATATAAGAAGATATAAACGCATATATCCTATAGTAATGTAGAAAGGGTCCTCCAAAATTTAAGTTTTAAACGTCTCATGGATGAAGCGAAAAAAGTTCTTGATTTCGAATTTGAGAGATTTTTGGACGGGATTTAGAGATATTTTGGGAGGTTATGATTTCAATTTTGGGGAATCTAGGGTTTTGTTTTTAATGTTTTGGTGTTTTAATTTATTTTGGGAAGTATCATTAACCTAAAATTATGGGATCTAAATTATAACCTTCAAATTAATCAATTTTGCATATTAAAATGAATTTGTAAATACAAGAGGCTATTTAAGTAATTTATATGATGGGTACTCTAAAATGATAATTGATACACCACRAGTACAAGATATCAATTCTTTTTCTAGATTGGAATTCTTAAAAGAAGTCTATGGAATTCTATGGGTGCTTGTTCCTTTTTTGACTACTGTATTGGGAATCACAATAAGCGTACTAGTAATTGTATGGTTAGAAAAAGAAATATCCGCACGGATACAACAACGGATTGGACCTGAATATGCTGGTCCTTTGGGAGTTCTTCAAGCTTTAGCAGATGGTACAAAACTACTTTTTAAAGAAAATCTGTTTCCATCTAGAGGTGATACTCGTTTATTCAGTTGATAGACAAATTTGTAAATTTCATAAATTCTATCCTTTTATGTAATTAGGATATTTAAATAGCTCATCAATGTACTAATCCCATAAATTAATGAATTAGACTTTAAATTCATGGGCCTGCTTCTCTAATCCTGCTTGTTTATGGGCCGCTTAATTGGGCCTTTTACTAAAAAAGCGTAGTTGGGCTTTCTCTGGGCCGGATTTCGAAATTGCCGCCTTCTCGATTGATGTTTAAGAACGAAAAGAAAAAATAAATTGGAAAAAAACACAGTTCCTCTCTGAAACCGAAGGACGTCGCAGCTATCTTCACAGCTTCAGCCCTGTAAGTATCTCTGAAACTTCAAGTAGAAACCACCGCTTGCTTTTGGAAACGAAAAATGGATTCTATTTTATAATTAATTTTATATGATTTGTTTTGTTGATTCTCAGTCCAAATGAAGTTTCTAGACTGGTATGTGAAGATTGGGGCAGTTTCGGCTTTGATTGGAGCTTCCATGGAGATGTTCATGATTAAGACGGGCTTCTGTGTGAGAACCCTCCTTCTTCTTCCTCCTTCTTCAGTTTATCACTTTAAATTCTTTTTGTTTCCAAGTAATTAGTGGAAGTAGTTTTGGTAATGGCTGCTTCGTCTTCCGATAGGTCTTTATATTAGATCTTAGAAAATTGATGTTTCTACGAGAATCGAAAGATGTTTTTCAATAGTTCTTTACCATCTTTTTTTTTTAATTATTTTATTATTTTTTAATTCTAAGATCTTCTGTTTAAGTTGATTGAAGAAAATTTTGCTTGTCAATAAATATAAACTAAGTTTTTATTTCTTGTGTTTCATACTTCGAAGTGAAGAAGTTTAATTGAGTTGAAATTGTAATGAGCCATAAAATTCGCGGTATAGTTCGAGGCTGTAGCTGATCTCAGTTTCGATACTATTGTGTTAGCTGCCATTAATCTAGAACTTTTAGAATTGTGGTCCGGAAGTTTAACAAGTGTCTAATTGGCACTTGAACTTAAATGTGTTTAACAGGTACATGACTTATTAGACTTTTTTTTTTAAAAAAAAAAAGAAATACAAATCTATTGAGTTTGTGAATTTTAAAAAATCTCGAATATATCAAAGATCTATTAGACATAAAATTGAAATTTATTGATCTTTTAAATACCTTTTAAGTTTAAGAACCTATTAAACAGTTAATAAACTTATTAGAATGTGTCATTGACATGGTGAGTTTTTTGCAGATTTGTAGCCTTTATGTCAAAGTGGAAATATATACGTATTTATTTACATTCAGTGTCTGTGGATCTAGTTTTCAAGGGAGGAAATTTTAAGGCTAGACTTTTTAATGGATTCTTAATTATACGAAGCTACTGATTCATGGTGTTTGCTGTCCCATATTGAAACTGATTCAACTGCTCACGCTGTGAGTCAGAAAAGTTAGTTTAAGAAAGTTCTAATTACAAGGAAGTTCTGATTCAATCGCTCTGCTGAAGTCAGTTTATTGTTTGATGGTCAATTTATTTTGGCTTTTGTATCTTGCAGATGATAAAGTAACAGTTTTGGAATCAGAGAAGCTGGCTTGGGAGAATTCGCCCGAGGCTCAAGCAGTTAGAGAAGCCCTCAATCCTTGGAGAAATCGTGATGCTGTTGCAGAGGCCAAAAAAGACGCCTAATGCTTCAACTGCTTACTGGACTAGCTGCTTTGCAAGGTTTGTCTGACTTCATAATCAGCAAATAGAACATAGAACTTATCATATAGAAAGATATAAGCAATGTTGTAACCATGCCCATGCTTTAACTTAGGGGTGTCAGCAGGTTCAGGTTTTAGCTGAAACCGATGTTGAGCTGACATATTGGTCTAAGGGGGAAAAAGTTGACGTTGAAATTGTGACCAAATAGGTCCAGTTTGATCGTGAAACTTCCAACCAAATACTGATACATCTCACAGAAGATAGGAAAAGTACAGTTTCGTGTGATGATTAGAGTTTTGGTTAAAGTGTTAAATTCAAATAATTCCTCCTGTGTTCTTGCCTAGAAAATTTGGATGAATACTACTAGCATAAGATGGATCACATCGATCTTTGATACTGTTAAAAGCTAGGCAAGATGATCGAAACATTAAAATGGCAATACGCGTACGATTAGAACACCCAAAACTCCAAAAGTAAAGGATTTACAAATCACTACCCCCTCCCATTTTTTCCTTTAATTTTATTATTACTCAATATTCTTGCTCTGTTTAACCAAAGTATAATAGAAACAAAAACTCTAACTCATTAAATCTTTCCAAACTGGAAAAAAATTTCTCATGGAGAATGATATGTCGGAGCTAGTTTTGATAACTATTTTTTTATTTTGTTTTTTGTTATGTTTTGTTTTTAAAAGTTACGCTCATAAATATTAGAAGATAACAAAACAAAGAAAAACATAGGTGGAAGTAATATTTACGAGCTTAATTTTTTAAAATTTAAGCCAAGTTTTGAAAAACTAAGAAAAATTAGTTCTTAAAAGCTTGCTTTTGTTTTTTAAATTAGTTGAGAAGTCAACTGTGTTTTAAAAAAGTGAAAAAAATTGTAGAAACAAATCATAATTATCGATATAAAAGATTGAAAAATGAAATGGTTGTCAAGTGGGTTTAAATTCTTTGGGAAGAGCACACCATGACGAAGCTAAGACCTACTATCATCTGGGTTTCTATGACATAGCTTCCCAAATTTTCCTATTGAATAAACAATGAAAGAACAAGGGATGATGGAAGGATATTGAAACTTCAAAACTTCACTAACAGACCTATCATAGTTCTACAGTGGTTTTTTTGACAATATTCAACTCTGTTTGTGTATATTGGTATGCAAGAACTCCCTTCGTACCGACACCTTGTACAGCAAAGGACTTAGCGGTTTCTTCTAATCGGTTTTGCAGGTGGGGAACAACAATTACAGAAGAAGACTACTGAAGGATATGCATATTGGTCCTCGGACTGCAAGGCACTGTAGTCCAGACCTCAGAAAGTGCACTTTTTTCTGGTGAAAATACTGATTTTTTCATTGAAGGAGAAGCTTAAGTTTAATAGAATAATCATGGACGAGATTTTTAACATATCTTCCCAAAACTCTTTCTGCCTATCTATATTCAAATCTCCAGGTGCCTCTAATTAGTTTTAGTATAAGAAACTGGCATGGATGAAAATTTTTGAGATCTGATTTTGTACTTGATATAATCCTTCAGGGCATGTGAGCCAACCAACCATTAGAATTGAAGACAATAAAGGCATCATTTGATAGTAGAAAACGGTATTTTCTGTGTCACCCTAAAATTCCCCATAGCACAGGCTTTCAGTTAATAAGAGATAGAGTTCTGTAGAGGCATTTATATAAGACATTGGAGGTCTTCTTATGGTAGTAATATGGTAGATTTTCAGATCATCTGATTCAATGTTTTTTTTTTTTTGATATCCGTGTGTCTGGGCTAGCTTGCGTGCACCTCGACTAATTACAAGCCAATCGTCTGACTTTACTACATTTGGTTGATAAGGTAACTCGTAGGATATTAAATTCTAGATAGGTGACCACCATGGTTTAAACTCATTTCCTCGAAGTCCTTTGCTATTTACATTGATCCTTATTAATCACTAGGTCATCCCATGATGGTTATCTGATTCAATGTTAGAATATAAATTGTACGATGATAGGCATAGGCCCTGATTAGAAAGGTATATTCTAGAAAGAGGGGGCGAGAGGGAGCGTAGCTAATGTAATGGGGTGTGAGGGTTTCTATTAATAGTGCGGGGACGGGGTCCGAGTTTGTTAGAGGGGCAAATATGAAATTACATCGTATTGAATATATCTCAATTAGGGGATGGGGAAGAGGCATCTTTTGGCTGATTTCTGAGGAAGCAATTGTTTGGTGAGAATAGGGAGCTCTCGAATTCTCCCTTGGCTTGTAATCTCTTCTCTGAATATCAATAATAGAATCGAGGTTCTATCATATTACCAAGCTCAGATTCTGATAACTCGATATCGAGGATTCTGTTTCTAATTCATTCTACCATGTTGGATTATAGTTCTTGACTATAACCTCCCGGATGATTATGACATAGTTGTTGCAGAACACAATTGTTGAAAATGTTTCTTGGTTAGGAAGACAGTTTAGTATTTAACCATTAGTTTGGATCTTTTTTGGGTCAAACTTTCACACTATCTAAATTTATTCATTATACTTTCAAATTTTCTAGAATTCCAAAATTTTCCATAAAAATTTGTTTTGGTCCTTGTCGTTGATTTTGTAGTGCACAAAGTATAAATCTTATGTGATATATTCAGTGGACACAAGTTCTAAGTTAGATTTTGTTAGKAGAACTTTAAGGATTAAAACTGAATAAATATGAAAGTTTGGAGATTAAAATAGAATTTAACCGTGGAAAGGTTGTTGGGGGGTAAGAAATCCGACAGAAGCAAGAATCTTCCACTAGTTTTGGAAATAATGGACCAAGAAAAGTGACATATATATGTATATATATATTTGTATCTCCGCTGATGGGGCTCAGTGTGAAATATTGACTCCCAAATTCAACTGTCTCTGATTCTGATTCCAGATGTTGGTTTTAGTGGATTTTTCCTCCATTTCTGTCAATTACTAAGTTGTTCAAGAGGATCACCTCTCCAACCAAACAAGCCAATCCCAACTTAAGTTGTTTCGACGTTTGGTTTGGTTCAAATTGTTGTGGGAAAGGGTATGTTTGAGTGGCTGGTTGGTCGAGGCGTTGGAACTTGGAAGTACCTATGGATGAAAAAGGGGCTTAAACAATTAGGATTAATAAATGTGCGTGATTCCATGTGAACTGGATTAAAAGTAGTAAATAGTTTGATAAAGAATGGCTAAGTTTGAAAGGACGGAAAGTGATTGAATTTAATCTTGGATAGCACGTTTTTCAAATAAACATTTTTTTTTCAAAAGTACTTTTTGACATGTAATCAAAATTTTGTAAAATATTTTAAATTAATTAGAAATATAAAGGATATCGAAAGTGCAACGACTATAAAAACGTCATCGTCGGCAAACCAAAATGTTTAGGTGTTTGAAATTGCAACCTTTTAACCGAAAGAAAATTTTGAATAAAGAAGAAAGAAGAAAGAGAATATGAAAAAGAAGAAGCACTTGGGAGATTGTGGATCAACCGTCTATTTCTTGACTTTTTTTGTTTGGTGGGGGCAACAATTTCCTTTAACATTAATAGAAACAACTTGATGAGATATCAATCAACTTATGAGGCTCATTACATTTCTATTAATTTGTCATCAAAATTTATGATGAATTAAGAAAATCAAGTTTGGTCGATAATAAAGTCAACATCAACCGGATTGATAGACATTTTTTATTTAAGAGAATGACGATAGATTGCGTTCAGATATTAAAATGTTGGAATTCAATATAGCATACCTCTAGAAATATTGAAATGCATTCAACTTACATTTTCAAAATATTTATAAAAATCCATATAACAAAGCAAATGAAACAAATTAAAACAATTATTAAACTCGGTCTAAGAAACAAAAATGGAGGATTTAGCACATAAAAAGTTCAGGATTCGAACTCAAAATTGAAAAACTCAAGATCAATTTTTTTTTAATTTAATAAGAGGGAATAAAGTGGTAGAAATATTCTATAACTGTGTAGTCCATAATATTTAAACCTAAAAAAAAAAAGTAGCTCTCTGATCTCCAGCTCTGAAATGACAAATGGAGTGGATAGGTGACATGAAACCCACCATCAAATTAAAATGTTAAGCAAGAACCTACCACATTTTTTCAAAACCCAGCAAAATATATATATATATATATATAATGAAGATCTTGTCATGATCATCTATAAAATCTCCACATAAATCACTTCAATTTATTTCAGCAACAATTTAATATAAAAACATGCACAAAATCTCCCTCCACATATCATAACTCAACAAACCCACCTCCCAAAAAGTCAAAAAAAAAAAGTTTTTTTTTTTTTTTTTGCCTTCATATATTACTCCAAACTTTTTCTTGTTAATTCATAATTAAAACAATGGACCAGATGAAAGATGGGTCTTCTTTCTTTGTGTGGGAAGACAGCGCAGATTCCGAGGTGGATAAATTACCGTTTTACCCTCGCCCGGGTGAGGAATCTGCTGTGGATGATCAGGAGGATGCTCGGTCCTGCAGCTGCGACGATGCGGGCGAGAGATCTAGAGCCGTTGATTTCCAAGATGATGGGGATGATGCCGACGATGGAGATCAAGGCGTTGGTGGGCCCGACCAGCTCGACGGAAGTTGGCGGAGCGTGGCGGCGGCCGGCGAGGAGGAGGAAGAACTAGAAGGTGAGTCATGTAATGTGGGTGTGATCCGTAATATGAACGAAATAGTGGAAGACAAAGTCTTTTGGGACACTTGCATGGCGGGAGGGTATCCATAATTTATTTATTTATTATTTTTTTTAGATAACTGTATCCAAATATCTTCAAAATAGTATGATATTATCTGTCAAAAAGTCTCATAGACAATGTGAGAATTTATTTGACATTTATCTTACAAACTCAACATTTTTTTTAATAATAAAAAAATATAGTATTATTTGTGGCGAGAATCGAATCTTGGAATCTTCATCATTCTATATATGGAAGGAAACTGATATTTTGACCGTTAAGGTATATACTACATGGTGGAAGGGTATCCATGAATTTTCTTTTTGAATATAGTATTATTTGTGGGTGCGTGGTGAGACTTGAACGTTAGATCTATAGGGAAGAATACTGATATTTTGACTATATATATATACACACACATACACATACTACATGTGGAAGGATATCTATGAATTTTATTTTGAAATATAATATTATTTGTGGTGTGTTGAGACTCCAACTTTGATCTATATGGAAGAATACGACCGTTAAGGTATATATTGCATGTGATAAGAGRGTATCCATGATTTTCTTTTGAAATATTGTATTTATTTGCGATGAGACTGGAATCATCGATCTATGTAGAAGAATAGAGATATTTTATATATTGCACATGGTAGGGAGGGTATCTACATATATATATATATATATATATATATATATATATTTTTACAATATAGTATTATTTGTGGTGAGACTCAGAATAATTAATCTTTGATCTATACGGAAGAATATTGATATTTTTTATTGTTAAGATATATATCTGCATGGTGGGAGAGTATCCATTATTTTTATATATAGAAGTATATAGTATGTACTGCATGCCGAGAATATATATATATATATTTTTTTTGAATATAGTATTGTTTACGGTGAAGACACCACCACAATGTTATAATATTGTTCAGAAGTCTCCTACCAATGGAAATAATTGTCTTATTTTATATGCTCATGATCATTTCCTTCCTTAATCAATGTGTAACTTTGTTTGTACAGATAACAAAATGGTTATCAAACGTGCCCTAAAGTAACCTCAATTAATCTTGGTCATGTAGACTTTACTCTATTTTAGTCTATAAATTTTTTAAATATCTATTTTAGTGGCTCAATATATTAACTTTAATTTAGATTTATCTTATTTGTTATCCATATAAATTTTTATAAGGTCTATTTTAATAGCTTGATTCTTGTTATTATTTTATCATTAATGGTTGAGCAGATAGCTGCGTTAATATTGATTCATTATGACGGAAGCTTTTGCTCATGGAACTGTATTTTTTTATTAGAGATTACAAACCATAACATAATGAAAATAATGTATTGACAGGATAAAGAAACTATAATATCCCATTTAAGTTGGACGAGCCTTTTTATGGGATTCCATATATTTGGGGACTTCAGATTCGTAATAATGTCATGCTTGCTTTTGGTACTTCGGAGAAATAAATTTTAATCAACCCATATTTGTCCAATGGATTCAAGCTACTCAAGATAAAACTTATATGAATTTAATGTATTTTTATCTTCAACAAGTGGCCCGATGTTTAACACGAATCATAGGATGTGATTGTCTGGTCGATTAAATCAAAACATAACTTGACAATATAAAATTTGAACTTATTTAAAACAATGCACACCCCAAAAGCCGCCGTCATCTTTTTTCCCATACCTTCAACAGCAGCCCCAAATTTCGAATAGGAGAGGTCGTCTTTTGTATTTTCTGGCATGATTCAAGGGTTCGTCTATAGCTGGATGATGAAGTTTTTGTCCACAGCATAGCATACAGAGTTTTTGTCCATCGTCGGTGGATTCGATACTCTCGCCTGAGGTTTCTTGTTTCTGATCGGAAGTTTCAAGAATCTCACCATGGAAAAATAGCATCAATGAGAGCAGGGGATGCATATTGTGGCCCTATTTTAAATATTTTTAGGGGATTTTTGTATTAATTTCATAGATGTTTCGTTCAATGTAGGTGGCAATCAATATATATTTTTTTAGTACAATATTGTGGGAGTGGGGGTTCGAATTCATGACTTTTTGGTCAGAGATAAATGCCTTAACCATTTGAGCTATGTTGGATTTGGCCGCGGCAATCAATATTTGCTTTCAATATAACACTATGATTTTGTACTAAAAAAAATAGAACTCGGTAAGAAAAAGCGTGGGCAGGTACCTCCCTGACCCACTAAATACAACAAAAGAAAGGTCCTATTATGATGATGAATTTGTTATAATACGAGTATATATAACATATACCATTACATAATTATTGTTTATAGGCTCACCAATGGGGATTAAATTTTTGTGTCAAATAGTAGGTTATATATTATACGCTGCTAGGTTGGATTATATATGTGTTTAAGTTAGTTGATTTTGATTTATGAGTTATAATCTTCTATATTATAAACTAGAACCGACCTCGATTACGAATTTAGAAAAGGGCAAACCTTAAATAAAGTCAAAGAACACCTGCAAGGTTAGAAACTAGCTTTTAAACTTTGGTCAATTTCTTAAACTCAAAATTTTTTTCCGTCAGTTTGGTCAATTTCCCCATTTTCTTCCTATTGTATATATTTCTACTTCAAAACCTTGTGACTACAAAAAAATAAAATACTCCTTTGATAATAAACTTGAGAATTACTGCTGAGCTATACTTGCTTTGACGGACAACGCGAAAGTTACTGGTGTACTTAACAAACAATCATTTAATTTGTTTAACTTTGCAGGTAGAGTCGAGCGAATTAATGGGCCTGAAATATTTTCTTGACAGAAATAATGGGCCTGAGATTGATTGTGAATGAGGCCCAAATCGAAGATGAAGCCCAAAAGTCCAATGTGCAAGAACTTTATTTTATTTGAATTTCTTTTAAGATAAGTGATATTTGACTTTCAGATTTTCAACGGTCACTTGGCACCGCGTTTGACAGCTTTGATACGGTTGGTAAGATCTGAGAAAGTTTCCAAGTAAGAGTTATTGAGAAACTTGTCGACTTTATTTCAACTTGGCTTATTACCATTTATTCAAATTATTTATTTAATTATTACGATAATTTTATATCTCTGCAATAACATGACTGTCATTGTCAACCTTATGACTAAATCAACATCTTTTTTTACTTTTCAATTTTAATTTTTATCCAAAAAAAAAGAAGAAATGTTGACCTTATTCGAGAGTATGAAATTAAAAATCTTTCATCGATTATTTGTAATATTATTAGAGAAATGTGGAAAACAAGATTTCGAGGGGATTTTATTCCTAGAATACCTCAAGCTCAAGTACCAACATTTTGACAATACTTGCAAAAGAGTGGAGCTGATAATGCATAATTTAGATGTAAGAGTGTCAGTAGATACCTGAAGCAACTCGAGAAAATAAACATCCTCTTGAAGATTTTTCATTTTTTTTACTTTACTTTAAAAAAAAACAGTACTATTCTAAAAACTTTACTTCTATTTCTAATCGATGTGAGACTATGTTCATATTTCTAATATCATTTACTCGACAGCTTTCCTTGGACCTTCCTCACTTCAACCTCAATCCTCCCTATTTCCCTCTTCCCTTCGTCAAGATTACTAGGAAATTAATCATTTTATAAATTAGCTTAATAATTGGTCAAAGCTTGTCTCTAATTTTTATAGCTTAATCCATCAATAAAAACAGCTAGCATTTTGAATAATTCTCTCTTATTTCATACTTTATGTCACATCCATGTATAATATAATATTAATATCTTCATTCCCTTTCTATTTCAAAGACTGATTCGTGTTCTTCCATTAAAGTATGGTAACATATATTTATAGTATATACATATAAAATATGTATGGATCTCAATACAAAATATAAAGTTATTAATTTGAAATTAAATTATGAAAATTCTATACTGCATTACAATATCTATCATATTATTTAGTGGTCATTGTTAATGTTTGATGGAATTGTTGGCAATAAAATTATGTCAACATTAAGGGATAGTTTCCGCGCACACAAAAAATCGAAGAAAGTCATAAAAATAATTAAAGTTATATATGTTAAAATATTTATAAAATGATCAACTTTATTTTAATTCATGAACTTAAATTTTTAAATTAATTGATGATTTAACGTAGTACCATAATAGGGAGTTATTCTTATATTGTCATTTTGTCATTTGATTAAATTTATCCTAATCTGTAAATTTAAGCTATTGAATTTATTGGTCAACTAAATAGAATTAATAATTTTGTAAGTGAAATATATACTAATTTTCAATTTCGTTTATAAATAACACGATCGTAAACCTATGTTTTATATTTTGTTTGGGTTTGTAAATGTTTATTTTATTTTATGGGAAGTGGGATTTGAAATTATTATTCAATAATATATACATGTTTTCATAACCCGTGAACCAAAAAGGCCAAGTTCTTTAAAGAAGCCTCACACGAATTAGAAAGTTTCTTGGATTACAAAAAAAGTAAAAAAAATTGCCGTTGGCTACTTTCATATGAATGCATAAACTAACATTAATATATATAAATAGAGAGAGAGAGAAAGAGAGAGTTTAATTATTTAAAAAAATGAAAAATGAAGGTTGGATGTCAACCATATATTTAAAATAATGAGGTAGGTTTGTAATTATCGTGTAAATGAATTATGGTTCAAAAGGATTTTTTTTTTCCTATTGATAAAGTTTTGATGGATATTAGAAAAATGTGGGAATATTTACAAGAATTTTTTTTATGGAGGCATGGAGGAATATCTTCTCCCTTTACTCAAAGAAAGATGACCTTTTGTTTTCTTTTCTTAATAATTTTTAATTTAAATATATAAATCATCTTGCAAGTGAGAATTTTTTTTTATTAGATGCATTATGGATATTATTTGGAGTAGGAATGGAATGAGAAATATATAATTTAAATGTATTGTGAAACTATCTGTAACCGTGTAACAATTTAAGTGACAAACACTACTCTAACAATTGTAATAGAACGGTCTCTTCCTGACTCCTATAAATACGTCATTATTCTCGCTCACAAATAAGTGATTATATATATATGGAACCGATCTATTAGTTCAGACTTTAGACTAATTTGAACGTACGAGTGTTTGTTGCATTGCTTATACATGTTTCCTTGCATAGTTCGGCACAGCTCGATCGGTTAGCTCAACATGGATCTCTCGGACCATCAAAAAATCATCATCAACGTAATTCATTGTACATATTGTTGAATTATCATTAATTTATTAAGAGGATGAGTTGTGACTTGAAAAACATTGTTGGAGTTGGATGAAAGATGAAATATTTGTTTGATTTATTTTCCATAATACTAAATTTAACTTAAGAAATTTAAAAAGAAAAGTATCTTTAAATAAAAACCGTATAGAGTTCTTTCTTTTAATTTCATCAAGGGAAGATCATCTCTTTAATATCAAGAAACGAGATCTCATCAAAATTTATATAAAATTTCGAAAATAATATTTCCTAAATATGCAAAAATAAAAAATAATATTTTAGAAAGATAACTTAAACGCATTATACGAATATTCAACATTATTGCATCAATCTCACACCAACAAAGCACCTCCAATAATTTTTGGAATTGTTTTCCGAAAGAAAAATAATTTTTGGAATTAACTTTTCCTCTTTTTTAATTTTTATAAAAACTAAACCGAAGAAAGATAATTAAATAAACAATATTGTTAAACACACTCTTTTTTTTTTTCAAACTACAAACAAGAAATTTCATTATTCATATACCTCAATTTTGATTAGAAAAAGAAAAAGGAAATTCTCACCACTAACACAAACGTCCGACTTTGAAAAGATTATTAAATAATTTAAAAGGTCAGCTTGTCGCCTTGCCTTCATGGGAAGAATAATAATAATTATAATAATTTTAAATTTTAAATACTAATTTGGTCCACATACTTTTAAAATATTTATTTTAATCTATATATTTTCAATTTTTATTCATTTTAGCCTTTTTACCTGCAAAACGTCTTTTTTCTCTCTTTCTAAAATTTTAATACAACCATGGAAATCTTTGAATAAAAATTTATGACCATATTATTTCAAAACGAAAGGATAAATAATTAAACTGTCACGTTAAGATTATGATGGAAAGAAATAAGATTAAAAAAACTAAAACAGATGATTTACAGGGACTAAAATAAACATAGATTGAAAATATAGAGACTAAAATTGACGTTTTTTAGAATACAAAATTAGAATTGTATTTAAAAAATTTTCAAAAACCAATCATTTTATTATTTTAAAATTGAGATCGACCCATATCCACAGTCTCACAAGCCCTTAATTATGGGATAAGTCTTTGACTTTACACCATTATTCCAATTGGATGAATTTTTATTTTTCATGTTCCCATTATTTTCTTCCCCAATCCTTGGTATAAAAAGCCCCTCATTGCCTTATTTTTTTCCATCAATCCATTTTCTTCTTCTAAATTTGATATATTTTTTCTGTTCAAAATCTCTAAAATGAGAGCTTCAAACCATGGCTTCCCCCTCTTCTCTTTACTTTTTTTCAGTGTTTTTCTTGCTCTTCAGGTCTCCAATGGCGCTCTCATAAAAAACTTCTATTGGCGAAGCTGCCCCCAAGCTGAGCCAATCATCAAAGACGTCACCTTTCGACTTGCTCGGTCAAATCCCGCTCTCGGCGCTCAACTTTTGAGACTTCAGTTCCATGACTGCTTTGTTCGGGTACATTAGATTATCTCAAGTTTATTAAGAATATAAATAAAAGATTAAATATATTGTAATCTATCGACTTAAATTTTTGGTAGTTTAATGATATCTGAATGGTAAGTTATGTTAAACTCGTATAATGTCATCAAATATTACGCTGTTGGGTATTATTATGATACTATCCCAAGTGTTCGAACTCCTAATTTTTAATACTCTCTTATAATTAATCTACTTTAATATTTCTCTCTTTACTCTCTTTACGTTGTCGATTTTTCTTTCATAAATAATTTAGTTTACATTGTCGGACTTCACATCATTCTTATGTTGTACTAAAAAATTATCATTACTCTTGTAATGTTGTTGCTACTAATATAAGTACCTGTTAGGCTTTGTGTTAATTTTCAAGACTACGGTAGTGTAAGAATAACACACAAGTGGGTCGAGTATTTAAAATATAAATAAAAAATTTATCATAACTTATTATCTTTAAGTTTTTGGACAAAAGGGATGCGATGGATCGATTCTATTGAATACGGTGGGAGGAAACCAATCGGAGAAGGAGGCGAGACCGAACCAATCACTTTTTAGGGTTTGAGGCGATTGACGAGATCAAGTCGGAGGTTGAGAAGGCTTGCCCGGGAGTTGTATCTTGTGCCGACATTCTTACCCTTGCTGCTCGCGATGCTGTTTCCTTTCCCGTAAGTCACTTCCTCACTCTTGTCTCCTTATAAAACATTTATTTTGCAAAAGTTTTATAAAGGTCTCAATTTTATGAAAACGTCTCACGTTTATTCTTATGGATTATAAACGCAGTTCAAAAATCAGCCACGGTGGCCCGTCCTCACCGGAAGAAGAGATGGAAGGATCTCGCAATCATCGGAAGTCGCCGGAAATATTCCGTCGCCGTTCTCCGACTTCGCCACTCTTAAGCAAATCTTCGAGAAGAAAGGCCTTACCGCGAACGATCTGGTGATATTATCTGGTACTAATTAAATTATAATCCAAATGTATATATTTATTTTGTAAGTAATAATTTATATCAAAATTCCTTCCGAAAAAAAAAATTATATCAAAATTAAATTCTATAAGTATGATAAAAGAATCATGTAGAAATAAAGAGCAGTACATGCATGAAGGTGGCCACATCATGCAGGGCACGTCCACAGAAGGTTATTTTTTCTTAATATTGTTATAAATTTGAAATATATTTTTTAAAAAAATATATTTTAGAAAATATTTTGAAATTCTCGAGTTATTCCTCAGTGTTGTGCACTAGTGTTGGTTATGATCAAAATAAAATATTTGGAAGTTTTGAAAGCGATTAAGATATTGATTTGAAAAATAGCTAGAAAGTTTTAATTAAAGATAGTGATGTTTCTTATGTTTTGAATATTTTGAGTATATATTTTGGCAGTAGATTTAAAAATTGGATGCCAAATTAAAAATATTGTTCAAAGAATATTTAGTCATATAATTACTAAACAAAAGAAATAATAGTAGTTTTTGAGCTAAGTCCGGTTGATAATAAAAATAATAATAGTTATTAACTAAATATTTTGGTAATCTCAAATATTTATAATAAATTTATTTGGTATAATTATTATTTACAATATTATATAATAGTAGGTTATACATTATTTAATTTAAAAAAAAAGAAATTGATATTAATTTATTATATATTTATCAAAATTATATTTTTTTCAGGTGTAATTTTACATTTTCAAATTTAGAATTTCAAAATTGAAGACCATTGTTCTTAGTCAAAAATAGATTTTAAAAACAAATTTACAGGACTTTGTTTTAAGAATCCGAAAACAAGAAATATAATCTCACAATTTTTTACAGTTTTACGTACACCCTCCATTCATGTTATAAATTTTCCTCATAAACAATTTTTTTAACTTATGTTGTTTGACCACATTATTTTTAAACAATAATATTGATGTCGCAGACAATAAATGAAAGCTAGCAATATAAATAAAAATCTGACGACCTTCTAATTTTTTGATAAATAGAAAAAAAAAATATCTTTTACTACCTTTCTCTTATACTTGTTACAAATTTAATAGCGGGTACTTAAGTCCTCATTAAAAAAATTCATGGTTCATTATTGTTAAAAAAAAATTATATGTTTTTGCATTTATTTTTTAATTGTTCAGGACTTATATTTTATTTTTTTCAAAAAATTAAGAGAAGTTGTCACAATATGGTTGATAGAGACAAATAAAGGTATCTCAAATTTATATTCAAGTGTTAATCAAATTATGAGATATGATGATTTCGACTCTAGTACAGTCTCATTCAATAATTTTTCCTACCGTTTAAATCTATTTTAATTATATTTTAGGTGGTCACACGATTGGGGTTGCTCACTGCGGCACATTCTCTAGGAGGTTGTACAACTTTACTGGCAAGGGAGATGCTGACCCGTTGTTAGATCCAAAATACGCTGACATGCTTAGACGACAATGCCCGAACCCGGCCAACACGTCGATTACGGTGGAAATGGATCCACGGAGTTCTCACTCGTTCGATAGTAAATATTTCAAAATTCTCACTCAGAAAAAAGGTTTGTTTCAGTCTGACGCTGCACTGCTAACCGACGTCGTTTCGTCTCGCCTTGTCGGACAATTGAGGAATCCCCTAGTTTTCTCCTTTAGATTTGCTGACTCCATGTTGAAGATGTCTGCCATTGAAGTTCTCACTGGAACTAATGGTGAAATCAGGAAACATTGTCGTTTTGTCAATTGATCATTATATGTATTTGTGTTATTGAAGGAAGCTATCTATGAAATTCATATTAGTATGTATGTATGCCAATCGCCAAGGTTGGTTAATCTTATGATATTATATAAGATAACGTCTATTTACCTTTCCTTTTATACCCTTTTAATTTTCAATTAAAATGATTGTTTTTAAAACTTCAACTAACACTAACATAGATATTTTGAGGTTCTAGAGGGACAAAAATGGAAGAAATCTAAGTCCATAGACTAAAACTAAAATAGGGATTTTAAACATTCTTTACTTATAAAGTTAAAATTTTATTGAATCAGCATGGTGTAAATATATCTAATGAATATGCAGTGGAGGAAGGAACTACACTTGTAAAAAGAAATAGTGAAGGGTTGGGTAACTGAACACCAAATCTTGCAATTTGGGAATTGATCCAAATTTTCAAGTCTCTTTATTAAAGTTGAACCAGTCAAAATTTTATTCAAACTCATAGGGTTTAAATAGGGTTTTGTTTGGCATTTTTGAGTTATCAATAATAGGGTGTTACTTTTTCCTGCCGAACTGCTATAAATAGAACATAGAAATTACCGTTTAGGTTCTCATTAGTCTCAACTGTGTGTTATATTTTAAGATTTGATATAGTTTGTATCAGGAATTAGGAGGATTACTTAGGAAATTTAACCATTTTTCTTTTCAAATAAAAATTTTTCACGAGAATTTAAATATTCAAATTTATCTTTTAATTTGAAATTTATTTTTCAAAAAAATAAACAGAAAATCCGAACCCGAACCCCACGAAATTCTGCTGAAAATTTCACTGGAAGTCATTTCCCATCCCGCCCCGGCCCCACAAATTTATTAGTGCATTTAAACACCCATTGTTATTTATGGATTAAAAAAGGGGTACAAATTTAATTTCTAAGAGTTGTAGAATAATTCACAAATAATAGTTTCTTTGGGGCTAATTTCAAATAAGCCAAATTAATCTACTTTTGTTTGTATTATCACTAATTGGGCAGTTAGAAGTTAGAACTTAAAACATGCGGCTTTTCGAAATCCAGGAAACGTTAAAATTCTGTTATTTTGGTGCGGCGTTTTGTCGTAATTTATTCTTAACCGCCACTAAAATTATTTTCAACGACCACTATAAATTATTATTTTCATTTTCTTTTTCTTTTTCTTTTTTCTGCTCAAGTTTTCTTCGATACTCAATGGGGAAGAAGAAGAAGAAAACAGAGGAAATCAAAGTAAGTGATCCCATCTTCGTCTTTTTCCTCTATCAACGACGTCGTTTCTTTACTTGCTAAAAAATAATGAGCTTCTTGAATTAGCCGTTGACTGCAGAATTTAAAGTTTCAATGCATTGTAAAGCATGCGAAAGAACTGTGGCCAAAGCCATTTCCAAATTCAAAGGTAACTATCCCAAAAATGTTGTTATTTATTGTTAATATAATTATATTTTTAAAATTTAAAATTTCATTTTCTTTTGTTTGATTATGATGTTGAAGGGGTGGAGAAGTTTACGACAGACATGAGAAAGCACAATGTTATAGTGACGGGAAAGTTCGATCCACAAAAAGTTATGAAGAAAATAAGAAAAAAGTTGGGAAAGGTGGTCGAGATGGTGATCGACAAAAGTTCAAGTGCAACGGCAAAAGATCAGGCGACCGTTGCCAAGGAGTCAGATCGATCGGACCCGAATAATGCCAGTCAGTTGATGATGTTCAATTGTTGCAAGGAGAGTGCTCAGTTGCTAGTTTTGTTTAGTGATGAGAATCCAAATGCTTGTTGCATCATGTAGATAGAGATGATGATTCTTTACCAATGGCTGGTGAGAAACTGATAGAATTCAACTTGCTTTCAATAATAATATAACTTTGTGTTCCTAAAACATAATATCGAAAATAACGAAAAAAGTGAGTATTGGGAGTTCTTCGACTTCGAGTGGTAAGGGCGTCAATCTCGTCTCCAAGAAAATTAAGCATCTGTTTATACAGCCTAGACTGATAATGTATTGGTTATATGTATATGCAAGTATGACAGAACTTGACCAGCGAGATTTCGGTCGAGATTTCGAATTTGTACATTACATCAAAGAGAAGCGCTGCGATTTGGAAAGTTCTCTTCTATGACATGATCTCAAGAGCTTCCCTGGTTTGTCCGAGCATATTGAAAATTGTAGCAGCAATATGAGATGGGCAAAGACCTGCTTCTGCAAGTTGGTCTGCTGGCGATCCATGGTCGATGTATCGGTCGGGAAGAACAAGCGGTCTCCACTGCAAGTGTTGTATGGAATGCTGGATTATTAAATTTCATAGAACAATCTTAAAGCAGAGATTTAAAATATGGTTTGTATGAGATTTATACCCTCAAGGTGCCATCCAGAAGGCCATCAAGGGCCAGGAACTGGATGACATGAGACCCGAATCCCCCGATCGATCCTTCTTCCACTGTGATCAAAATTTCGTGCGATTTGGCAAGACTTCGGATAAGTGCTCGATCAAGTGGCTTGCAGAAACGTCCATCTGCAACTGTTATACGTAAGCCGTGGCGCTCAACCAAAGACGCTGCAGCCATACAGTTTTGGACTGCCGTTCCATAGCCCAAGAGAGCCACTCTTTCCCCTTCAAGTAAAATCCTGCCTTTTCCAACCTGTTATAAAGAATCGTCAATTAGATTCCTGGTGCGGCAAAGACTGTTCATGGCTGGAACCTTGAGATTTTTTTTTCCAAAAATGTACCTCAATAGGAATGCCTTTATTCCCTGGTGGCAGCTCGACACCGATACCGTTACCTCGTGGATACCGGAAACAGCTGGGTCGGTCATCTATGGCTGCAGCTGTAGCAACCATGTTAAAGAGCTCGGCCTCATCGGACGGGGCCATCACTACCATGTTAGGTAGGCATGCCATAAACGTAACATCAAAAGAACCACAATGAGTCGGGCCATCTGCTCCAACCAACCCTGCTCTATCCATTGCAAATCTCACAGGCAACTTTTGCAAATCAACATCATGAACTACCTGTAAAATCGAACACGACAGATTTCGTTGGAACTCATACAAAAACAAACTCGATACACCTTACTAATGGAGAATGAAGGATGGAATTGAAGCCAATTCTTGCCTGGTCATATGCCCTCTGCATAAACGATGAGTAGATCGCACAGAATGGTTTAAGGCCTTCACAGGCCAGACCGGCAGCAAACGTAACGGCGTGCTGTTCAGCTATACCAACATCAAAGCATCGTGTGGGAAATCGTCGTTGAAAGAGATTTAAGCCTGTGCCTCCTCCCATTGCAGCATGGATTGCAATAATATCTTTGTCAGCTTCAGCTTCTGCAATCAATGCCTCAGCAAAGTACGTCGTATATGATTGCGTTGCAGCTTTGGCTTTCTGCTGTTTACCAGTAGCAGGATCGAACTTTGCAACTCCTGCATATATGAGCCACAATTTTAAGTTGTAACCAATTTCAAAAACAGTACAAATAACAGCTCAGTTTCCAAAACAATGATCATCTATCCCAAATTTCATTTCAGCGGACAAACGAAGTGACATACTAACTGAAAGATAATCTTCTATTTACCATGGTACTTATCGGCAGCTCTTTCAGCATATGGATATCCTCGTCCTTTCTCAGTGACAACATGGATGAGGACTGGACCAGTGGTTTTTGTACTCTTAACTTCCTTAAGAATGGATACAAGATCATCCATGTTATGACCATCAACGGGGCCGATATAGTAGAGCCCGAGCTCCTCAAATAACGTCGATCCAGAACCACTAATCATCCCGCGAGCATATTCATCAACTTTTGCTGCCAATTCATGCATAGGACCGCCAATTTGTTTCGTGACGCCCTGAAACATCATTGGTGTAAAGATAAGTAAACTCAAACTCATTCAGATAGAAGGACCAGAGCCTGCTGGTTTGCTTTGGTTCACTATTTCTTACCTTGGCTACCTCTCTCAATTCTCTGAGAGGCCTGTTTGACTGCAGCCGGCTGAGAGCACTGCTCAAAGCTCCCACGGGCGGTGCGGGCCCATCTAGAGTTGCAGTTGGTAAAGAGACTTGCTTATTGTCGTTAAGAATAACAATCATATCCGAGTCAAGGTATCCAGCATTGTTCATGGCTTCATAAGCTTGACCTGCAGTCATGGCACCATCACCTATGACTGCAACCACATTGTTCTTTCTTCCCTTAAGATCCCTTCCCACAGCCATTCCTGTTGAGCCACAAGATAAAAAATTGCAGTGAAACTTCCCAGTGAAGTAATTTGTTTACAAGCAGTTGTCACAAATATTTTGATACATTAGGCAATTTTATGAAAAGAAAAACAAATTTTTAATATTTTGTATAATTTTGTTAGAGTTTTAAGAAATTTGTAGACACTAGACAACAAAACAAGTAAAATTAAGATTTATGAACCAAAAAAAAACAAAAACAAAAATCGTTATCAAAGAGACACACAGACTAGTCAACAGATTATGCATCTTTCCACCTGCCAGAAAAACGCAACTCCAAAATATCAATGGAGACGCACAAAACAATCTCGGACAGTGGCTCAGATGATGTTCTGATCTTATCCTTATCACTCTCACACAACCATTTTTCTTCAGCTCTCAGTTGGAGCCTCATCCTAAAAGCTAATTACCTAAGCCTGCTGAGATGGTGGTAGAGCTGTGACCGGCGCCAAAGCAATCGAATTCGCTCTCCGAGCGTTTGGTGAATCCTGACAACCCATCTGTCTGTCTGATAGTAGGCATCTTATCCCTCCTTCCAGTTAGAATCTTGTGTGGATAAGACTACAAATCACCACACAATTCAAAACATATTATAAACAAAGCCAATCAACATCTCTCACCATGTCAAAGCATAAACAATAAAATTTTCCTACAGCAAAGAGGGAAGGCAAGAAAGGGAACCTGATGGCCAACGTCCCACAGAATCCTGTCCTGTGGCGCATTGAAGACATAGTGAAGAGCCACCGTGAGCTCCACCACACCAAGGCTGGAACCCAAGTGACCCCCAGTTTTAGAAACATTGAAGATGACATCAGATCTTACTTCATCAGCTAGTTGATAAAGCTCCTGAGTCAACGACATCCCGGTAAGAAACTAAACTCCTTGAACAGTGTTAAACTTACACCAAACTCAGAAAACTTAAGATAATAGATTGAAGTATGTATATTCGATCTCAAGAGCCATCAAGTAATATAAATATTAGTTGGGTAGAGCCATAGAAGATGATATTGCAGGGACTTGAATGCAGAGCATGAGGTTTTATAAAAAATTCCATGCTTTGACACCGTAATCAACTACTACTGAATTCAAAAGTTTAAAAGTTTAAAGCCAGTAGTTTAGGATATATTTAATTTTTAAAATATATTCTTTAAGAGTATGAAGCTTTTTTTCTTTGGAAAGAAAAAGCGGGGAGCTTGTTATCAAGCTAGTGATTTGGGTTTTGAGTCTTTAACCTTGATAGATAGATTTTTCATGTGAATCGGATAGTTTATTGTGTCCAAAAGAGGAGTCGGTGGCCTCTGTGAAGGATACTCTCCAGTCTCTGAAAGTGATGCACAGATCCCACCTGGGATTTTCTTGACCTGCTACAAACAAAAGCAAACAACCACACCACATCTTTCAAAACATATCTGTTTCAATTTCCAAATTTAAAATAATTCAAATGGTAGGTCAAATAATAATAATAAATAACCAAGGAAAAAAAAAAAGAAAAGTGAAAGGGAACATCTTATTGGAACTCTCCCCGAGAACAACATCAATTCAAAAGGTGAAGAAAAGCCATAATTCCCAATTTTCAATTGGGAAAAAAAGGAAAAATCAGAAAATATTCTCTTCTTGTTCACTTGGGCTTTTCTTCAAACACTTGGTGTGCAGTGGTTCATCTCCATCTATTTTAATACCTGATTGAGCTTTTTCTGAACTCGGAAGACCAGATCCGTACCCCACAAGGATCGAGAAGAAACAGCACTGGAACTTTCATGCTCTTTCACTGCTCCACGGCTGACATGAACAGGAAACATCGAAGTACAGAGCGCCATTAGAGCTCCAACAACACCCAAAACGGAAAATTGGAGCGGTTTCAGCTAAAATCAAAACCCAGTTGAAGAAATCCCAGAAAAAGAAAAAAGAGAACCAATGCTCTGGTCTTCTCCCTCTCACACACCCACTTTCTACGTGTCTTATAGAGTGACACGGTAGTAGAAATCGAACGAACTGTTTTTCCCACTAAGGAAGTGGTAATCGAAGTGGGAAATTCATTCTTTTTTCTTTTCTATGATTGTTTTTTTGCAATAGATCACAGAAAGAAAAAAGAACCAATGGAAAGTGGAAGCGTGTGGAGAATTCGGTAGATTGGCGATAGAATTGAGAAGCAATGACGAGTGAGGGAGACAAATTGAAGCCGAATTCGTTGGGTGTCTTGTCTAGCTTTTAGAGTACGGTCTTTACATTCTCTCTTTAACTGTAAAATAAGCAGCGCCAGTGCTCCACTCTGTAAATCGGACATCTTTTCTTATTGGTCCACGTGGACAGAAATCCCAAAATGGATATGTGGATAGGGAGAACATACATCCACCAATGTAAATAATTTCTAGCTTCTCGCCTTATTTTTTACACACAATTGTAAAATTAGAAAAAAAAAATCTAATTTTTACTCAAAATTGGTTCGAGGATGAAGGATATATGATAAAATTATAAATTTGGCACCTGAATTTTTAGAGTTGTATTTGTTTAGTCTCGATAATTTGAAATGTTTCGAATAGGTGTCTAAACTTTGAAGGTTCTCTAATTTCAAAAAGTTTTTTAGTAGATTCTTTTAGTTTCGATTTTCTATATAATAAGTTCATGCAAATGAGTCGGCCGTGTAACATTTTCTTTAGTACAATGGGGATATTGGGAGATTCGAACCTTCAACTTATAAGGAGATAAATTATGTCTTAACTAGTTCAGCTATGTTTATGTCAATATTTGTCATGTTGACATGAACATAGCTAAATAATGGATGAAGTTAAATAATACAATCAATGTGTCATGAAAGTATTTAATTGATGAAGTTAATAACATTAACTTATTAAACACAAAATTAAAAGTTTATTAATCTATCAAGAACACCTTGAATAATAGGGAAAAGTAGACGTAACTTTGAAAGTTGTTTATTAAAAACTTTTTAGTATGTAAATTAAATAGATACGATGTTAAGCTAAAGCAACCATAGCTCACTGATAATTGACATAAATTTTCAACCAAGAGGTTGTAGTTCGATTCCCCGTACCCACATGTTGTATTAAAAAAAATAGATATGATGTTAAAAGTTCAAAGATCAAATTTATAATTTAGCTTCAAGAGAAGACATTATAAACTCGAGTATAGATTCGAATCTCTACACCATTGTAATATTAAGTCTTTTTTTTTTTTTTCGGTGATTCGATGGCTGTGTTTTTATGATCAGATGGATGTCTTCTTTTTGTTTTATTGTAAAATAGAATTTAATTGTATTTTTCTTACGTGGTCATACACAAATATGTTTTCACTCAATTTGTGTCTTTTTGTCATCTAGTGATGGGTATTGGGCTCATGGTTTAATGAGTATAAATTTGTTCAGTGGAGTTTATGCATTCATTATAAAATGATAATTTGAGTTTGTCTAATTTGTGTTCGGTAGAGTTCAATAATCGTGGTACTTATAATTAGTGAAGGAAAGATAAGATTTATGGATTTCTTTCCCATTCTATAATGAGATTCAAAGACCTTATTTATATACAAAATTTATCCTTACTTTTAAAAATAAAAAGACGAAAATATTGTAACAAGTTTTAAAATAATTTTTAAAGATTCTACCGATCTTCTTGTTTTGATTAAGATTTGATGTATGGCTTCAACTTTTTTATTGAAATTACGTTAACATCATTTTAAGAGGATTATAAAGTTGATTTTTTTTAATGGAAAGTTACTTTTTTTTTATATATATCTAACAAAAAAGTTACTTTCCCCTAAATTGAGTAGCGTAAAATTATCCATCATATTATGTCTATTATTATTATTATATTATTTTTTTTTTTTGGCTGTTTGGAGAGAGAAACAAACAGAACCTAAAATTTTTGGGGGGGATTTGGAGGAGAGGGGAAAATGTGGAAAATGAGGGAGGGAATGAGAAGGAAAAAAATAATAAAATAAAATCTACATTGTATGGTATTGATAAAAAGACAAAAGGTGGAGAGCACAACATTAATGAGGTAGAGACACGATAAGGAAAAAAAAATCTAGTGCTCTGCCCACTCCAACCTAGGAATATATAATATATTTCGAAAAATCAATTTGATAGATCGACATCGATCAATCGATTTAATTGATAATTCGGTAAGTGATATGTTGGTCGGTTGGAGCGGTAAAAAAAAAATCATTTTCAATAAGAATTGAGATTCCGTGACTACAGTTCAATGAGTTAGGACACATATTTACTATCAAAATATAGTGAATTTAAATTTCTGCTGTCCTAAAAAAAATTAAGACCATTTTTATCAAAATTTGTCTTTTAGTAAGCACCCATCACAATCTAACTCACAAATATAATGAGAACTGAAAGCTTATCGTTTGGAAAATATGGCTTAGAGGTCATACTTAGCTGCTCCACGTTTCTGAATTAATGAAGGTTACGTATTTTTCATTGTATGCTTAAAATTTCTAACTTGAATATATCGATTTGGTCATTAAAATATATCTAGCTTTTTTTTTTTTTAAAAAAAAAAGTAATTTTGTTCATTTTTATTTCATATGTTTATTCACTCTCATTTTTATTTTTAGAAGCACGAATAGTTATCACGAACTGACGAGTTTTGTCGAAAAATATATTCCTTGGCAATTTCATACAATTTAATTTTAGTTTACACGTTAAATCTTAATGTAAAGTTCACAATTTTTTAACAGAAAAAAGAGAAATTAAAGGGTTATTTAACATTTTTAATAATCCTGTTTATTGTTCTCTAAAATTGTATATATATATAAAAAAAAAAAGGTAAAAGTTCAAATGAAAAAAAGTTCAAGTGAAACAAACAAATATTTTAGGCTATTTTATTTGTTTGATATTTATTAAGCATTTTAAAAAATAAAAATGATAAAACAATATTTTTATCTAACTGAAAATTTGGAATCAAAGGGTTGATTTTGTTGTTTCCAAAATTTTGAAAGCATTTATTAGAAATGTTAAATGAGAAATAGAAATAATTATCAAATCCTTATGTTTCTAAAAAATGGAACGTTACAGGACTTAAACTAAACTTGTTTAAAAGAAAGGAAAGTTGAGACAATCAACCTACGGAGATATAGCTTCTTACTCAACCTAAATGAAAATTTCACAACGAGACAAAATACTCCATTTCAATGGACGTAGACCAGACATGCTAGGAAATCAAACTTACTAAAGCAGGAAAAGATATTTAGAGAGTGGGAAGGAAAGAGAGGGAATGGTATAGCACAAGAGGTCCTCCAACTTGCTGTCCGCTCCCCTTCACGTTCTTTGCTGGACAGGAAGATGAAGTTCAAACATCGCCAGAGAGAAGCATGAAAAACAATAATTGAAAATATTACCAAAGAAACCCTAAAGGTCTGAGTTGCAACTTCCTTAACAATTACTTCAAAAGTAGACTTTGCAATTTGTCTAGACCTATATAAGTAAAAGACATCAAACGGCTATCTCCCAAAATAAAAAAAAAAAAAAAGATATCACGGGCAAAAAGTTAATAAATATAGAATTTGATTAACAAACATACTGTTTTACAAAGGATGAAGAAGATAAACAAATGGAAAGACTTAAGAAATATGAAACATTAGTTTAAAATGAAGTGAGAAGAAGAGTAATTTCTAAGCTCCAAAAAGTAAAGACCAAAAGAAAATTTGGAGGAAGAATAGATCCAAGTATAGCTTTTCTTCCTCTCCCCCTTTCACTTCATTTTCGCTTCTGTAAACAGAACATGTCGATTGACCCGAGGATCGTATTTTCGGAACTCGAGCTTCTCTGTAATTTTGGTTGGCTTTCGCTTGACGTAGAAGAAACCAGTCCCAGCAGCGGATACAAGTCGGATGAACATTGTAGCTTTCTTTTTCTTGTCACCCATTTCCTAATACATCAAAAAAGAAAAAGTAAATCATCAAATCGTACAAAGAAGTATGTATTCTCATGTCTCATCAGATCATTTTGAATGTCAACTGTTGAAGTCCATGTAGTATACAAGACTGTTTTATTTCACAAAAAGCGATTCAAAATGAGTTGGAATCGTCCTTCCGAGTCCTATGCTATGGAGATTTTGAAATATTAAAGCAATCAATAAACAAAGTTTGTTATCATATGATCGAACATCTAAAGCGCTAACAGTCTCTCCCTAACAAAACAAACCACTAATGAACAATATCGAAAGAGTTCAATCACTAATCAATATCCATCATTAATAATAAGCACTTTACTCTATATTTTCTTAACAAATTCTCCCTCCGAATTACGCCTGAAATTCTGATACTTGATCTTGCCTGTTAAGCAACAAATGAGGAAATTTTTTGTTGAAAACATTTTTCTCATGCACGGTTTCGTCAAACATATGAGAATCATGCACCTAAGGTTCTTTTCATCTCACTGTCCCTAGTTTTCTTTACTTGGTGATGGGCGACAACAAAGAAGCCATAAATTTTAACCAATAGTTTCTAGTAGATTTCAAGGAGAAAAAGGTAACATTGTAGAACAATAACCTCACATATTAGTCCAATTTATTAACCACCCCAAAACTTAAGTTGATTAGTTATGGTGTATTAAAGCATTTTATATATGCACTTAACATTTTCTTTATCTATGGTGTAAAATATCAATTTGATTCATTGAGCCTAACACGTGAAAAATATCATTACAGGAGTTCAAACTCAAAATCTCACACTTTAATAGTGTAAGAATGCTAACTGCTGTTATTTGTGCATAGAAGATGCTGAACTTCAAGGCCGACTCATGAGGCTTTTGTTCGGCTGGTGCTTTCCTATCCATACAAACCCAAGGATTCTTCTTCACACGGTTTTAGTGGGTCAGTCCTATCCAAAAGGAAGTTGGAATTCTTAGGAACCAGCTTATCAGAGTCTTTCTTTGGAGTATATGGATTGAAAGGAACAATCGGGTCGGGTCTTTTAACGACCCATCCCTGTTTTCCTTTCAATAGATTTTCTGATCTGATTATGTTATTAGTTCTTGACTTGTGTAAATATTACTATTCTCCTTTTACAAGTTATGGTCTTAATGACCTTGTATCAAATGGAGCAACTTTTTTTAATTCTGTTTTGGGATTCATCTTTTGTAATTTCATCCATCAATGAAATTATTGTTTCTTACCTAAAAAAATCACTACTAAGACTAAAAACTTAAGCTAATAGGTTAATATATCCTACACAAATATACCAAGTTTCGTAATATCTTCATCAAAAGCAAATCCGAAAACTGATTCAAGAATGTCAGATGCAGGAAAACATGAAAGAAGCCATTATCAACAGAAGAAGCAAAGGCCAGGACCAATTAGTCCAATAAACAAGTATCCTCAACCTACGCATTTCTAAGATAACGTTCTACTATATAGTCACTAGATAATCAAAACCTTCTTCCACACTAATGGAAGCATAGATTGAAAGAATGTCTGCCGAAGCTACCTTCGACCTTCAATTAACGGATCGAATTTCCAAATATACGAGAATGACTCCAAAAAGCACATAATTTGGTCAAAAGATTGCTGAGTTGCGTTTCATTAGTCGATTGAACAATTAAAGAAGAAAAAATCGATGGCAATAAATATATGAGGAGACTAGATGTTAAGATTGAGAAACTTACAGTTCGATGGTGTGGAAAGACGCTGTGAAGAGCCCTAGAATGGAAGCGGGAGCAAAAGCAGAAGCAGGATATGTGTTCTATATAATTATTAGGTAAAACTACAAATTTTGGCTGATTTCAATTTGGGTTTGTCTTGAAAAAATTGGGTGCTCATAGAGGTAATTTTGATAAAAAAAAAAAGGTGAGGTTAATTTCAAGGTCTGTATAATTTTAAAATTTTCATTTTAACGTGATTCAATAGTTGAGCGACAATTCGAATTTAAGAACTTTGATATATGAATTAAATTTTTCTAAAAAAAAACTATATGAATTAAATCATCTCTTCTATTACCTATAGCATATTTTTTGTACAGGAAACAAAAATAATAAAAAAAATATTTTTTTATATTAGCATTAAGTTTAAAATTTTGTAAAAAATGTATAAATTGCAAGCTTATACCAAGACAAATCAAAAACTACTTTTATGATATTTTAGAAAAAAAAAAATAACAAATAATGTTACAATTGTATTAAAGGATATAGATGAGTAAAAAATAGGTAGAAATGGAGAGACTTTTATTTATTTATCTTGAATTGATAAAAGACCATTTAAAAATGATTTATAGGATTTTTTTTAGTGTGGAGGTGGGAGTTCACGTCAATTATAACTCCAACTAAATCGAAACTTTTAAAATCTACTAAAATTGAGTTTAAACAATATTAAATTAAAATTTTAGAAATCGGATGAAGTTAAAATCAAAACCAAATTTGTAATTTAACTTATGGTTGAAAAATGGAAAAGAAGTAAGAACTCATGGTATTTTTTTCCTCATTCTTTTTGTAAATTATATTTAATGCCCTTATTTTTATCGTAATTTCATCCGTGATTCCGTATTGAATTATAAAATTGGGGTTTTTAACCTCATTATATAACTTATTTGGATTTTTGACCTATTTCTAAAAAAATCTAATTTGTGATCTCTACCATGTACGACTCTTTTACACTTTTTGTCTTTGTAAAATTATCAAAATATCTCTGTTACTTTTAAGTAAAATTATCCACCAACCTCTCCCCTTAACCCTTACAATTTTTTTTATTTGAATCTAATATGGAAAAATTTCAACATTTTAATTTATGAATCAATTACGTAACAACCGAATCCACTTAAATCCTCCAACAATTAAATTAGGGTGAAATTTTTTTTGCATGATCAAAGAATAAATGCATAAGATTTGTGCGGATTTAATTACAAAAAAAGTCAAGATTTAATAAATTTCGGCCCAATATTACATTAAATGCCCGAGATTTAATTGACAACAAATAAGACCACAAGAGAGAGAAGAAAAAGAGAAGAAAAAAAATTGGACTGATTGGTGCGGATCCCGATCCGGGTCAGTTTTTTTTTGTTTGTCTTCCCTCTCCTCTTGGTCCTATTTGTTGTCAATAAAATCTCGGACATTTAAATTTTTAATTAAATATTTGAGTTAGACTTTTTTCTATTCATAATTGATTTTTAAAGTTTAAAAGTTATATTTTTTAAACAAAATTGAAAAGAATTTTTTTTTATTTATTTTATTGAGGAGGGAGAAATTGTTGATTTTAAAATATGGTACTACAATGATTTCACATTTAAAAATTAGAAAATGAGTGAAAAAAATAATAAGGAGAATAGGGTCAGAAACTAATCTATATCTATATTATATTAAAAAGGTAGGAGGTAGGAAAAACATTTTTGGACACTTTTGCCCTTTACTAAATTTACAAATTTACAAATTATGCCATTAATATATTATTACAAATATTAAATTAATTATTAATTATTAATTATTAATTATTAATTATCAATACTATAAATGCATGGAATATAAAAGGTTAGAATGCAAAAAGTTTTCCAACAACATAAAATTAATTTTTTCTTTAATTAAAATTCATACTAGAATTTCAAGAGTTTTAGAATTTGAAAAGCTTTTGTAACGTTTTATCCTCTATTACTATAAAAATAGGTTTTCTTCTACATGTTTTTCACAAGTTTCAATACTTTTTTATTCTTAGTTCCTTGAAACATCTCCAAAGATGATTCAATCTTGAAAACATCTCGAGATATTTGTGACATATTCATCAAGTTGCAATAGAGGCATATGTTGAATCTACATATCTCGAATACTAGTTTGTAACATTACCATTCCACAATTTTACAAAGTTGAATAATAGTATCTGTCAAACAATCTTCAAGAATGAACATATTTACTCTAAAAGATGAGTGTATAGTGAGTACTTAGATTTTTTTTGTACTATTGTTATTTTTCTAATTAATGTGTTTTTTATTTGGAATGTTTCTTTTTTTAGCAATTTTGTTTTGTTTAGGATTTGGACTTTTTTTTTGTTACTAATGTTTTTTATTGTTTAGTGTATTTTTTTTTATTTGGAATGTTTTTTTTAGCAATTTTATTTAGAATATTTGTTTAAAATATAGATAATTACAAGCTCATGTTCTTATTGTTGAAAAAAAAAACAATCATAGAAGTCAGTATATAAAAAAATGTTTAATTAATAAATTAATTATAAACAATAATTTGTATAGAATCTTTGTGGAATATAAACTTTTGGTCATTTTATTTTCTAATAATATAATTTGAAGAATTTTTCTTTAATAATTTTAATTATAATATAAAATTAAATCAATAAAATAATTTAGTTTTAGTTAAAAAATTCAACATATACAACAAAATGTCAGCCCTAAACAAATATTTAATAAACAAACAAAATATTAAAAAAAATAAAATAAAGGATCATATTAGGTTGAAATAATTTAAAAATAAAAATATTAAAATATCTATTTACTTTTTTATTAATATATAATTTTTTCCTTTACTTTTAATTTATTTATTTACAAAATATATCATTAACAATTAACTATAATAGTATATTTTAAAAATAATTATAAATAGTACATTTTATTATTAGTAATTAGCTGTCAATAATAATAAATATATATAAAAATTAATCTTAATTATTTTTAAAATAATTATACTTAAAATATTTTACGTGAAACTATATAAAATTTAAATTACTTTATAATTAAAAAAAATTTATACGTGCACACATGGGAATAGATTAGTTTTTTCTAAAAGGGATCATTCATCCAAAATAAATTATCAAAGGAGTCGTATACCCTAATTTCCGGTATAATAAACAATTTGGACATAAATACCCTCCTATCAAAATTAATATTACTAACTTTGCCTTCCTGTCATTCCTGTGCAAGATATCATCATTAACCCTAACACTCTGTAATCCCTTCACTCGGTCTGATCTGCATCCTCTCTCAGATTCTCACACTTAACTTACAGAACTCGACCCAGTGGATTGAAAGGTTTGACTATTTCCCCGATTCTGAAACGAAGTTTTCTATTTCAGTTTTCTTTGGATTTTCTATTCGTAACGAGAGCAATTCGTTCGGTTGATAAGAATAGAAGAAAATATGATTTGAATGTCTTTTGATTCCATGATTTACAAGCAAAATTTTTGATGTTTTTGCGATGGTACCACACTAAATTATCTATTTGCTGTTGTTTTTCCTTGGGGAAACCAGAAATTGCTCGAATTAGAGATGGCGAGCGCAGTAGATGCTGCAGGAGAGCCAATTCCTACATCGGCGGTGCTAATGTCGTCGGCAAAGCACATTGCGAACATGTGTCGATCGGAGAATGTGGCATACCTCCAGTGCAAAAAGAAGGATGCGAACCCGGAGAAATGCCTCGACAAAGGCCAACAAGTCACTCGCTGCGTCCTTTCTCTGTAAGTGAATAACCTTTTGTTCTTTTCTGAGCCGAATTATTGATTTGCCATTTTTCGTTGGTTCTGGTTTCTATGGGTGCTTGATTTCCTTCGGATTGCTCCGGAACTACCACATTTGGAAATTTTGAATTGCTTTAGTTATCATATGATCGTCTTCGATCTGCTAGCAAATAGAGAATTAGGAAATACATTGCTTTAGTAATCATATGATCATCTTCTGATCCGCTAACAACTTAGCAAATAGAGGATTAGAAATTTAGGAAAATAAAAAAGCGATATTTCTTAGATTTGACATAGAAATGATTGGGTACTGGTGCGGATAAAATCTTAGTTTTATAACCTTTTATCTGACTAATCTGATCGTGTACATGGTTACTATTCTGAGGTCACTCACTTGTAGGTTGCTTTAGACTTTAGCTTAGGTGCAAGATGGAGATAATAGACCGTGGAGATGTTCCAAATTTACATTTACTTTAATCGCTCTTTGGGTTTTAGATTATAATATCGTGGTTGTTGAAGATTGCGAATACCAAATGAAATGTTGTTAGACATATGTGCTTGGAGGTTAGATGACCATGAACAATTTTAATTCCGCAATTCGTAGGGGCAGTAGCTTTTGCTTGAACGGCTAAATGCTTGATTGGCGAACATTTAACTTGACTGCTTATCTGAATATTAGTTGCTTCTGTTGTATCCTCAAGGATAGCTTGGGGCTTCAAGGAATATCCTTGAGGTCTTGGGTTCAAGCCACAAGGAACGCAACTCCACCAAGCAATTACCCTGGCATTTCATTTTCAGTGGTTGAATATGTGTTTGGAAATATAAAACTAGTATTGGGTGGTAGAATGAAGAGATGTTACTTCACTTAAATACATTGAATTAGAGAGTTTAATAGTATGATCAGTTCAAATTGAAGCCCCGGATGCTTGATTCATTAAACAAGTACGCCACATTTGAAGGCTAGAACATATAAAATGGTCCTTAATCTTTTAGGTAATTCTCAATTTGGTCATTTACCCTTGATGTTTTAAAAATTATCATATGAAATTCTTTTTAAATTTTGCTAATAAAAAATTGAATCGTCATTAAATTGTTGTTTTACTAACATATTTGGATATGCAGACATGCTATTCAAATGCTACTTGACTCATGAAATCCAACATGTAATAAAAAAGAATCCAACCCACCCATTAACAAAATTCATTTTTTCTTCTAAGTGGCATGTTTAGGTATTTCTCGTGTGTTTAAATATGATAAATAAAACAATAATTTAATGATACATCAACTTTTTGTTAAAAAAATTTATGGAAGGATCTAATTGAGAATTTTAAAGATTGAGAATCAAGTTGAGAATTACCTAAAATATGATAGATCATTTCGTATATTTAGCCTAAACTATATAGAAAGGTATGACTCCAGAAGGCATTGTGTTATCGTCTTGATATTCTGATTTATTGTTTACTATGTTCTATAATTTTATTTGTTTGATATCTTGCGTGAAGTATTAGCCAACTGCAATGCATTGAATTTATATTGGTGGAATGATGAATTTTAATCTAATTCTGATGCAAGATGGATGAATGCAATTTCATTATAAATATCCAGTTATATTGAATCTCAAGTTATTGTTTCCATAATCATCATTCTGCATATTTCGTGATTGCTGCTGAATAGTCATTAACTATCCATTCGATAGACACTATAGCTTTGAACAATATAGCTTTGTCTCTCTTTTAACCAATTGGAGAGCCTTTTTTAACTCCATTGGTTTGGGATCTTCCCCTTCTGTATTTCTTTACCATTTCATTACATTAATGAAATCTGTTTCTCCTAAAAAAAAAAAAAAATCTATTCATTCGATAGCTTATTAAAATAATGAGGCTAAATTACAAAAAACCCCTTCAACTCTGCCATTTGTTTCCAAAATATCTCTATCTTTTCTAAAGTTACAATGCTATCGCCCCCAAAGGACAGTCCAGTTGGCAAGGGTTTGAAGTCTCTTGGTCATATCGGCTTAGTAGTCTCAAGTTTGAATCTTTTTGTGAGCTTAATACCAAAAACCCTTGATGTCTCCTGGGTACAAGTCTTGGGGCGGGCGCAGGTGCCCCTAGGTATAGGGGAGTAAAGCTCCGACTCCCAATTATAAAAAAATTAAATAAATAAGGTTACAATACTATCCTCGACATTTCATAAACATTTCAAAATTACCATTTGATCTAACATCCATTAATATTTTGAACGGAAAGTTGGCTTGGCAAAACCTAGAATCTAGAATGACGTGACAATTGTAAAAAGGGAATGAGTTCAATCCATGGTGACCACCTACCTAGGATTTAATATCCTACGAGTTTCCTTGTTAACCAAATGTAGTAGGGTCATGCAGTTGGCTCGTGAATAGTCGAGGTGCGCGTAAGCTGGTCCAGATACACAAATATAAAAAAAATAGAATCTAGAATGACGTGACAATTAATGTAGAAACTTGCTTGGATTAATTATGAAAAGAGAGAAAATTTGGAAGAAGCTAGGATTAAGGAAAAATTGGGTAGATGGCAGAGAAGCAAACTCGGTTGACAATGGAAAAAGAAGACTTTTAGAGTAAAATTGAGACTTATTTTCTCGATCCAACAACGGCATTTGGGGATATTGAAACGTTCAATATGAAGAGAGAAGATGATTGCCCAAATTCTTGCATAAAATTTCGAGAAAGAGGGGGGAAAATGTTTGAGAAAGTTTGCCCAAAACCATTTGAAGATGTTCGTGTCTTCATGATTGTTTGTGAATTATGACAGAATTTTTTGTTCTTTTAGGTACATCACATGTTTAAGAAATTTTGCCCCTTTGGCTTGTCCAGAAAAGGGAACACCCTTTTTTCTCTCTTCAACCTATTCTTTCCCTCCAGAAATCCCATTTGCAGCTGGGTGGGTTTTTTCAGCACAGTTGGGTTGTTACTTTCTTTTCTTTTGGTGGTCAGATTCTTACTGAACACCGAGAAAAACAACATAGAAACACACAAGGGGTAATTAATTTCTAAGGGCTCGTTTGGTAACGTTCCTGTTTCTTGTTTCTATTTCTTTGCTTTTTAATGAAGAAAAATATTTTACATGGTTTCAACCTCCTAGAATTCAAATATGATATAACAATCTTTTTATTTATGTTTTGGAAAAAATTGAAAATGAGAACAAGAAAAGAAAAATTTGTTTTGATTGTTCTCAAAATTTCTGTACAATTTTGAGGATGTTCCAAAAAAAAAAAGGTAGGAACAAGAAATAAATTTAGTTGTAAAATGTTTAGATTTATTAAGAAAATTGGAAACGAGAATGTTACCAAACGGGCTCTAAGAAATCAACTCTCAATTTCTTAATTAAGGGGTAATTAGCTTTTGATTTCACTCTTCAAGTACTCTTTCTCTTTCAAGTTCTGTAAATTCTTAATTCCTTCTTGTGCCCCCCTCTTACCAACTAGGGTTTGTTTCAGATTCCCTCAGTTCCCATTTCTGGTTTTTTCCCCTCGTGAGTACCCCTATTTTATGTCACGTTTCCGTTCAAAATATTTAGAGAGGTTTGCTCATAAGATAGTATTGAAACTAGGTCTTTTATTATTTTTTATTTTATATGTATATTTTTTTGTAATTTAGCCAAAAGAATGAAGAATCCTAATTGTTTTTTATTTGGCTGATATCCTTTACTTTATTTTTTTTTACCGTGATTGATATTTTTTCTCCTGGTTGGCTGGGTCCACGTCTTATCACAAGTACTATTGTCTACTTTTGCCTTATACGCTCTTACACCGTTCTTTATCACTTTTTTAGCTGGATCTTTTGTGAGTGAGCCATCCTTTCATTGCATCAATTAAATTCTCTTGCCCATGCATTATATCCCATCATTCAATCACTCGCCATATCGATCCCATAATTAACCTAAATTCTGCTTCTGTTTGCAGGCTTAAAGATCTTCATCAAAGGTGCACGAAAGAGATGGATGCTTATGTCGGTTGCATGTACTACAATACTAACGAGTTCGATTTATGTCGCAAAGAGCAGGAAGCATTTGAGAAAGGATGTCCCTTAGAATGATTTTCCCCCATATGTGTAAAACTCATTCCAATAAAATTTATTGTCTGCAATGATCTAAGTACTGTTGTTGTTGCCTACCCTCTCTGAATTAAGCTTGTTTCTTCAGAAAAATGCACTGTTTTCTGTATGTGTCGGATTGCGAACCCGATACACTATCGCAAACAGAAGATAAACCGATCTTTGGCTGCCCCTTTTGGATTATTTTCATGAGCAACCATCTCTTTTGCTTCTTGAAGTTATCCTGTTCAAAGATATCTGGTGATTTTTTTCTTTACAATTCAAAAGTTGATATGGAAAATCGATATCTATCGAGTATATGCTCGATTTGTTTACGTCAACTCGTGGAGATCAGTTGATTTGAATAACTTATAAATGTATTTGATGTATCATTCTCAAAAGAAAAAAAAAAGCATATCCACAATAATGGGAGTAATCCATATACTGAAAGGAGCAGTGTAGAATGCAGATGGCATAGAACATGCATTGGATGAGGAAGAAATCATGGTTAATTGCTTTTACCTTTTCAGAATAATATATTTGATTTTTATGTTTTTTTGGTTCATAAGCTTAATTAGTTAAAACATTTATTCCGACAAAAATGTCACGAGTTCGAAACTCTTTAGAGAGAATGTGTTCAAATCATGTGGACCACATACTAAGATTTAATATCTTAATTGTTTGTGTCTAATAGGTCTCTAAACTTTAAATTTTTTATTTTTAATTTTGTATCTAATAAATTTATGAACTTTTTAATTACTTTTAATCTACAAACTTTTTTAGCACAAAATTGAATTTTCTGTCTAGGAAGACTCTAAACTTATCCTTTTTTAATAAGTTATAGATCTATTAGACACAAAATCAAAAGTTTATAACCTATCAGACAAAGTTCAAGAATCTGCTAGGAAAAAAAATTGAGACATCTTTTAAAGTTTATGGAGCATATAAGACACAACTCTAACTAAACTTAACCTTTAAATTATTAGATAAAAAAATTAGGACCGTCCTTTATCAATCTACACAGATATTTTTAATTTTAAAATCAATATTTTGTTTCTTTTTTTAAAGAAAATCTTTGTTATCAACTTATCAGTATCTTGTGAGTAGGCTGTGTCATAGAGGAACAGAAAGATGTGTTTTAAAAAGACACTCAATGATTGTATGTTTGTTTGTTGTACAGTGACAGGGAATTTGATCCTCTTACAACATCAAACCAGCAGCTGTAATAATCTCCACGTCAGTGACAGCTTTGCCCATATGCAAATCCAGATCTGTCATCTGTGGGTGATGGTTCATTTCTACACAACTGTACAAAAATCCTTCAAATATCCACTTGCCATTTCCACAACCTTCTTTATAAGCTACAATAATTTGCTACTCTCTTCACTATCCTCTGCTGACTAGTAACTACTGTCTTTTCTTTCCTCTTCCTCTCAGCTCTTGGAGACTGCCATGGCCATTGAGCAGCTCAAGGATGTTGAAAATGGTGAAAACAATGGCCTTAAGGGCTTGGAAGAGCCTCTTTTCTCTGCTTCACCAAGAGAGCCCTCCATGTGGATGGTCTTGCTCTGCACATTGGTTGCTGTTTGTGGTTCTTTTGAATTCGGATCGTGTGTAAGTTCTGTTTTCACAAACTTTTTCGTACTATTGTTAGTTATCAATATTCATGGAGTTCAATATCAAAACCAAATAGAGTAGTCCAAGTTTATTATAAACCTTTGCAAGGTTCTTTTTCTTTTCAACGTGGGAGCCTAAACATGTTTCCTCAAAATCGTGACTCTTTTGACTTATCGATCTTGGCCATATCCCATTTATTGACCCGATACTCGTTTCAACTTTTTGGACTCTGATACCGTATCAATATTCATGGGATTTCATCTCAAAATCAATTGGCAATGAGAGAAGTAATCCATGTCCGTTATAAACCTTTGTTAGGTTCCTTGTCTTTTCAATATGGAATCCTTAACGGTCCCATTTCGTTTTTAGTTTTTTGTTTTTGAAAGTTATCTTCGCTTGCTTTCCTTACAATAGTTGTATGGTTTTTTTTTTATCTTTCTTAAAAAATAAATTTCAAATTTTTTTTTTCTTTTTTTAAGAAAGCAGACTAGAGAACAAAGGATTACAGAGGTAAAAGTAGTGTTCATAAGAAGAATATTTATCTCATGATTAAGTTGTGGGAATTTTCCTGTAACTCACGACACGATCCTGGGATGTTGACATCATCTGAGGTTACTATGCGTGAGATAAATATTTCTCTATTTATAAATTTAATATTCAAAAATAGAAAACGAAAGGTAAACTTAGTTTACAGTTTTTTTTGTTTTTTCGGGTTTTCGATGATTTGTGAGTGAATCTTCCTTTTTCCTTTTGGAACCAGATAACAAAATATGAAAAAAGGGAAACAAAAATAAGAAGTATTTGTTGAGCTTATGTTATACTTTTGGCAGGTGGGCTACTCTGCACCAACTCAATCTGTGATCAGGGAAGAACTTCATCTCTCTCTGGCTCAGGTCCATTTCTATCTCTTTACAAAATTAGTTTCAGATTTTTCCTCACTTCTAACTTTCTTCAGCCTTAATGACTTGACAGTACTCTATGTTTGGCTCAATATTAACAATTGGAGCAATGGTTGGTGCTGTTACGAGCGGTCCGATTGCAGACTTCATCGGCCGAAAAGGGGTAAGTTAGATAGATTTTAAGTTAAGCTACAAGTTTAGTCTCTAATCTTTCAGAACTGTGTTTAATAGGTCCTCAACATTTTAAAAGTATACTTCAATTTTTTGTTGGAGTCCTATACGACAGTTTTTTAAAATTTAAAAATCTATTAGACATAAAATTAAAAAGATTAGAATCTTGTTAGACACGACATGAAAGTTCAGAGACTAAACTTGTAATTTAACCTATATTTTCAATGTACCAATAAACTTGGTGGTATGTTCAGGCTATGAGAATTTCGGCTACCTTCTGCATTACGGGTTGGCTCGCTGTTTATCTGTCGACGGTACGAGCTATATGCATGTTATGAACACATGATTCTTGAGAAAGAATAAGCAAAATATCATCCTACTGAAATTTCTTGTATGGTTTTGTCTGTGATTCTACCACAGGGAGCTTTATCCCTGGACTTTGGAAGGCTTCTCACTGGTTATGGGATTGGAATTTTCTCCTATGTGGTAATGTTTGGCCACTAAACATTCTAATTCTTCTTTCTCTTTGCATTTTAGCCATGCCTCTAGTGTTTTCTTTCTTTTTTAATGAATTCTTCATGTTGAAATTGTCAAAACTTGTAAATATACAACAACAGGTCCCAGTATTCATAGCGGAAATAGCACCGAAGAATCTACGGGGAGGCCTCACAACACTCAATCAGGTGGAGAAGATAAAAACCTTTTTTCTTCATCACGTTTTAGAAACAAATAAATTGTTAGCAAACAAGCTTAAACGAAACAAAAATGGTTATGTTATCTAACGGATCCTTAATTGTTTTCTTGGCAAATCGAAATATGTCTTATTTCCATCTTCCATTTTGCGGTCTGCAGCTTATGATCGTTACGGGCTCGTCGGTTGCCTTCTTGTTAGGAACTATGGTATCATGGAGAACACTTGCTTTAACTGGTAAGTTCTTTTTCTCTATCATACATTATAGTCAGTTAAGTTAGTTAAGATGATGTTATATAACATCATGTAAATAAAAGTGTAAGATGAAGAATGAAAGTTGGTTTGCAGGAGTTGTTCCATGTATTTTTCTGATTCTCGGTCTGTGGTTCGTTCCGGAGTCTCCGAGATGGCTGGTAACGTAGGCATTCGTTTAACAAAAACGGAAAAGAAAAAAACCGAATACGAACTTAAGGTTACTTGTTTGCAGGCAAAGGTTGGCAATGAGAAAGGATTTCTAGTTGCATTGCAGCGACTTCGTGGGAAAGATGCTGATATCTCAGATGAGGCCGCTGAAATCAAGGTAATTCGCTCAATTTTCATCGTCGAAATTAAACTTCGATGGATATTTGTAGTAGGATAATTGCTTATCGATCAGTATAAAGATAGATTACCGGTCAGCACATACTTAAGTACTAACCGATAAACACTTAAGTATTGTTCTCAATAACGAACTCTTCATTTTACTAACAGGACTACAACAAAAATCTGCAAAGTCTTCCAAAACCCAAACTCCTAGATTTGTTCCAAGGCAAATATATTCGTCCCGTTATTGTAAGTTTCTTCATCTGCATTGTAAAATTTCCTCCATTTCGAGTTCGGTTTTTCTAAACCGAGCTTTGATCGATGACTATTCTTGTTAGATCGGGGTTGGGCTAATGGTGTTCCAACAATTTGGAGGCATCAACGGGATCGGTTTCTATGCTAGTGAAACCTTTGCATTAGCTGGTATAATTTTCAAACATTGCCTTATTCTCCATTCCTCTGGCTTCTCTCTTTCCTCATTAATTCTTCTGGTATAAAATTGCAGGCCCCTCATCAGGCAAAGCTGGAACCATTTCTTATGCTTGTTTTCAGGTACATGAAAAAATAATTTGAAAATATAACAATTTTTTGTATCATTAATATATCTAATATAAAATATATCACTGATATATATATATATATATAATATATATATATTACTTGGTATACAGGATCTTTATATTTATGATCGTTTATGTCAAATATGTTATTATTGCAAAAGCCCTTAAATATTAAGTATGGAAACTTATTTAACAGGTTCCAATAACGGTAATCGGTGCAATGTTGATGGATAAGTCAGGGCGAAAGCCGCTTATAATGGTAAACATATCTTTCATCTTTTTTCTTCCTTCTAAATGAAATCTTATATGAGATGGATAGAATATGAGATGGATAGAAGAGCAAAATTTGATGCCCTTTTGATGGCTAATTATGCATTTGAAGGTGTCAGCCAGTGGCACATTTTTAGGTTGCTTTCTAGCGGGAGCTTCCTTCTTTCTCAAGGTAAGTAAATCACAATGAAACTCGTCATTTTGAGTCTATTTGGTAACGTTTTCATTTTTAGTTTCTTTCTCGAGCTTGTTTGTAAACTCTTTTGCAATATGTAGGACCATGGCTTGTTGCTCGGGTGGGTCCCGATTCTCGCCATTGCTGGAGTTTTGGTAACAAACTTCAAATATCTAATAAAGATTAGTTGTTTTTTTTTTCCTCACATTACCTCCAAATTGAGTTTTCACAACTTACACTTCTTCACTTTCAAATTCAGACATATATAGCATCCTTCTCAATAGGAATGGGAGCTGTTCCATGGGTGATAATGTCTGAGGTAAGCTTTTAACAACCTCCTAACTTCTAATATAGTTGATGTCATCGTAGTTTAATGGAATTGCAAATTCACCTCTTCTTAACGTCCCAACATTAAACCATAGGAGACGTATTTGCAATTGTATCAAATTACAAGGGTACGTTTTGCGAAAAAAGAGTGATCAACTTGGTACCCATTTGAGATGCCTGAGCCCTATCATGACGCTTTGCAACCGTCATTAGATTACAAGAGGCGAGTTTAGTTTGCATTTTGCAACAACGTAGACGCTTAGTTTATTAATTACATTGGCTCATATAATCCATGAGATCATTAAAGCATAAACTAAACATAGGTTTAGCTTTTTACTCATAAATCTAAACGATGAGTCAAACAACTCTTTCTTAAGAGTTTGCATTTATCTCTCGAAAAATACGAGGGTTCATACCTTTGATCGTTACACCAAAGAGATATCAGAGTAATAATGCAATTACTAGAACTTATAAGGACTACTTTTGATGACAGATCTTCCCCATTCATGTGAAAGGAGCTGCTGGGAGCTTAGTAGTTTTGGTGAATTGGTTAGGTGCTTGGGCAGTTTCTTACACCTTCAACTTCCTAATGAGTTGGAGTTCTTCAGGTCATTCATCTTATATTCTTCAACATAAAAAAAAAAATTAAATAATATTTTGATCTCGATATTTTTAGTTTTTGTTCATTTTATTCTTATACTTTTAAAACGTCTAATTAGATAGCTGTACGATTTACTTTTGTTCATTTTGATTCTTATACTTTTAAAACATCTATTTTAGTCAGTGTAGTTTTAAAAAGTGATCATTTTGATCATTATATGCAAAATTTTATGAGTGTGAAAAACTATTTTAATACAAAGTTATGCTCTATTTTAAGAAATTGATTGAATATAGTGTCGAGTAGAGATTGTGATTGAAAAATGAGATAAAAAAGAAAATACAATGACCAAAAGAAGTTGGTTTCAAAAGTATATGAATCAAAATTGAAGTCACAAAAATACACAAATTAAAATAGACAAAAATTAAAGTAAAGAGACCAAGATAAAAAATTTGAAAGCAACGAAATTAACCTTTAAACAAATAATAATAATAATAATAATAAAATAATAATGGTGGTGGATATTAATTTATGTTTTTTTTTTCCTTTTTGATTGCAGGGACATTTTTTGTTTATTCTGGTTTCTCTTTGTTAACTATTGTGTTCGTGGCCAAGTTGGTCCCAGAAACCAAAGGGAAAACATTGGAGGAAATCCAAGCCTGCATCAATCCAGAAATAAGAGGACTTGAATCTTTGAATTGAAAATCAAGTTTTATTTAGAACTTTGGGGTTTTTTTTAAATATTTTTTCTTCTTCTATTGTCAAATTTAGGGAGGGTTAATTTTTGGTTGGTTAATATTTGGTAGAATCAAAGGTCTCAATTTTACTGAGATATCGATAAAATATGTAGATGTCAGTGGATATTCTTAAAAAATTTATAAAAAAGAAAAAGATAATTATAACAAATGTTATTTTTTTCACGGGAGTTATAACAAATGTTTAAATTAACCAAGAACATTTTACTAAAATTTATTAGTATATATGTTATTTTGATGATTATTTTGCAATTGTATTGAAATTTCAATTTACTTTTCAGGTTAGTGTTGAACTTATAGATATATGAAGATGGGAATGTCCACAAATATCATACGCAAAATAAAATCATTAAGTTTAATTTTCAAATTTCAACGACATCTGTATTTTTTAAAGGTATAAGATCCTACAAGAAGGCATGTAAAATAACACATTTTAGATATAGGATTTATAAGGTGGGAAGAAGGTGAGAATTTTAAAAATATATAAAAGAAAAAAACTTTCCTCTAGCTTCCGGTCACCCAAATTGGAGAATGAGACAGAGATCAAGAGAGAAAATTTCTATCCAGTTAAACGGAGAGTACATCTCTAACTTCACTTCATCTTGGTGTCGTTTCTATGTCTCTTAATATGAGTTATAAATTTGTAGATCATACCAATTATATAAACCTAGAATTTGAGCTTATAAATCTCACTTTTTACATTACCTAACTTTTACAAAATATAAACTCATACAAACCGATGGATAATATGGTAACTCAAATTTGTATGAAACCCTACTTTCTTAGCCTTTCCTTCTGTCTTTCACTATTTACCATCTTAAATCAACCCAAAACTATTGTTAACAAAAGGAAAAAAAAAAGGTTAAAAACCAAAGTTCATTCTGAAACTATATTCTTTCTTAAATAATCCAAAAAAAAAGTATATTGTTATAAATACATAGACAAATTTAATCTTTGAACTATACACATAATTTTTTTTTTTGTTAAAAAACATATTTGATCATTTTACTTTCGTGAAAGTAACAAGTTAGTCTCTGAAATTTAATTTGTAGCGATTTAGTTCATGAACTTTCAAATTGGTAACAATTTTATTCCTAAACTTTAATATATAACAATTTAGTACTTGTAGTTTCCAATTTATAACGATTTAGTCTCTATCATAAATCTTTTTGTTAAATTTTTTATACATGTCAATAAATTAACGAGGGACTAAATGTGTCGTTTATACTTTATGAATAGTAAATTGTTAAATGAAAAAAAAAATTTGACGACGTGGGTCTAAAACGAGGAGTTGACCCTGGCGAACCGAAGTTCAGCTTTGATGAGATTTTTTATGATAGGGACTAAATTGTTACAAAATTTAAAATATAGAAAAAAATTGTTACATACTAAGGTCCAGAGACTAAACTATTATTATTTTGAAAATACAGTGGTTAAATTTTACAGAGACCAAATGTATTTTTTAATTATTTTTTTGGTTTGGAGTTTACTTGATGCTTAAATTTAAAATAATTAATTAAAAGTTAAGGGATATTTTAAAAATTAGTTATAGTTCAAGGGTAAAAACTCTAATTTTGTCCTATAAGTTATACTATATATCCAAAGTCAAATCCCGTTTAATCTTTTTTTATAAAAAAAAATATATATATATATATCCCGTTTAATAAAATTTTCTTAAATTTTAATAATAAAACAATATTTACTTAATTTTAAACGAAACAACAACTGGCATAAGACAAAAAAATAAAATGAAATAAATAAATCAACAAATAGAAATAGAAACTGATATAAATAAATAAATAAATACGAAGGGGAAAACGTTGATCTTCGTTTTCTTGCCCGATCCAAGCATTTCAACTGCACCGCGGGAATCTCTGAACTCTGATAGATCACAGTCTCTCTCTCTCTCTACAAGACATAGCCACCGGAATCAATGGCGTCGTCGACTGGTAGGATTACGTTTCGCGTTCTCATGGTGGTGCTCCTCCTCCTTGTCATTTTCTATGTCGGTCGTCCTCTGTACTGGAAAATTTCCGCAACTGTCCATGATATTCGCCAGAACAAACAGACCGTCAAAGAAGGTGCGTTATTTGAATGTTAAATTTATGTGTTTAGGTTCGTCTGAGCTTTGCGTGGAGTTTGAATTCTTCGTTTTGGACCTGTATTTCAGGTCTCTCTCAGATCGTTCTGGAAGCTCAGAAATCGGTGGGATGGTACCACGACGAGTCGGACTCGGGCGTCCATGATGAAAAGAAGGTCGGATCGGTTGCTACTCGGAGGCTGCTTCATCAGGTTTTGTGAAAAATCTCAGTTATTTGAATTGTGATTAGTCCGGGGGAATTGAATGGTTTCACATTTGTTAGTAAAGTTTGATCAGCGGATCTGGATTTTTGCCCGTAATAACGTGTTATGATGTCTGAATTAGCACCTATTGAATCAATTTAGTTAAAAGAAGGTAAAGAAATCGTAATGGATCATCGTTCGGCCTTCGGTGTTTGCCATTATGCATCGTCAGTCACTCGGATATTGTGGATAGTGATATTTGTACATGAGACGCGGTAAACTACTTCTTCCGTCTGACATAAAATTAGATATTGCTAGTTTTTAATCTTTGCCTTCCCTCTGGAAAAAAAAAAATCCAAATATGTATCTTAAATGAACGAAACTGGCTGATATCGTGGACGAGAATTTATAGTTGACTGAATATTTGGTAATGGTGGAAATATATCCATAAGAACTAAACATGTCGGTGGTTTTTTTGTGATGGTTTTTGTTACTGACTTGCAAATTGGGCATTCTAGTGCTGAAGAAGTGATTTCAATCAAATTCAACTAATTGAAGTATAATGGAGAAGGCTTCAACAATCGAATTGTAAGAAATGATGGATATATTTGAGCCTGTCTAGATAGAACTAAGACTTGGCGGAGCTAATAATTAGCCATATAATTTAGGTCGTACTCCTATACCAGCTTGCAATCATGTTTCATTGTGCTTTTTTATTCATAGGCTCAAATACTGCAAACATGACAAATCTCACTTGGTATCAAACTTCTGTCCATGTGCAAATAACTTGTCCCTGTTGTTTGACTTGTGGCAGTCCTGAATATCAAAATAAGTTGTTACCTTTGTCTTTGTGCCAGGTATTTGAACCTATAACTTAATTACATACCTCATCTCATCCTTGTAAACTTGCAAGAGATGGGAAAGAAAATTCTGGTGAAGGTTTGGGCATATTGGTATGATAATCATGTCTACAATACAAGCTCGACAGTCTGAAGTAATGTAGCGTATTGTAGGAAGATTCGGATCGAAATTAATTGTACTTATCCCCACTCTTTCACCCAATCAAGGTATAAGGAAACCTCTGATCTGACACTTGACGCATCATAAGACCCTTAGTTAACCAACCCTGTAGATATGATAAATGGTGACTAGTTGATTTCAGAATTAAGATTTTGGATGAGTGAGCAAGCTATAATATCTGGGTTTTTGGGGGAAAAAGATACATTTTGACCATCCTTTGCACTCTGGAATCTGGTTGGTTGTGGCGAACAGGTTAAAATCTTTAGCATAGTGTTATTCCCCTCTTAGATAACTGAAGCCCAAGAATCTCCATCCCAGCTGAGAAATATGGACTGGCACTAGATATGATTGACTTCTGAATTCCAACTTGATTTTCAATATAAAAATATCATAACGCAAAATAATGGAAGCTCAAACTTATCAATCCCAACTTCATAAAAATTTGAAATCAGATAAGACTTAAACTAGTAGCAGTTTCTGAAGTTCATCCTTCTATACCAATACACAAAATAAGCTTAAATGTGGTAGCATACATTATGAACTGTCAAACTAGATTGCTCCTCATGTTATGAAAACCTGGAACATTGCTTAGTTGGTCAATATTGCATGGAAAAACAGAATCAAAATAAATTATAGAATTTAGCAGTCTTGATTGATGTCATAATCTGCTACTGCAAACATCACCTTGAATAAAATATTTTCCATCCTTGGGAAAGAGGCCTTTTCGTTACCCTAATATAAATCTTCCTTGCCTTGTTTCACTTTGTGTGAGAAATTTGGTTCGCGTCAAAATCATAAATTCATAATCATATGTGCAACATAGAGATCAAATTGTGGAGACTTGAGAGGCAGAACCTTTACTCTTTTATCTGAGGAAAGTTATTGCCAACTTCTGATGTTTATATGTTACAGAATTTACCATTTTGTTTCATTTTATTCAAGTTTTTTATGATTTCTATCATTATGCTATAGGATGAGCCAGGTGGGGAAAAAAAGTATGGAAGAAATACTTCTTTGAAATGCTCCCTATGAGATATTTAACATCGTGGTACATGAGTACCATGTGGTGTTGGTTTCTATCCAAATTCATTAACAATTTTTAAATTTACACATAAATCAAAGTATTTCTGACACTGAGCTGCCATATGACAATTCTTTACAAATATCCACCTTGAAATGCTCAAACATCCTAGAATTTAGGTTACAGTCTTCAAGAGGAAAGATCTTTCTTCCAGATAAATGATCAAAATCTGTCTTCATAGAGGGGCAGGGAATATGCATCTTTTCTTTCTTTTCAGGTACATGTTATTTTTTTCCCAGTGGCATTGACCTTGCTTAGGTCAGTCTCTTATCTAGTATTAGTGTTCACTACTGGAGTAATGTAGCTGACAATTATATATATATTCATACTTTTGGTATAACTTACCCTTAAAACCAGCCGTAGAAATCCTCTCCTGATAATCTATTCCATGTGGAAAGGCCACATTCGAACATGATTGATAGACCTTATACTTCTACATTGAACTTGAAAAAGAAGGATCCTCCAGTATCTATAAACCCACATGCCAAGCTAAGTCTTGTTCACAATGTAAATGTAGAACTGCATCAGAATTTTTAAATACAACCTTTTTTTTTATCATTTGACAATCACGTAGGAAAGTGGCATGGTTTAGAAAACACTTCCTCACACATTAAACTTTCATACAGATCTCTTCAAACAAAAGAACGATACTCTAGAAAATGGAAAAACAACACTCCCATGAACTGTAATTGTAGAAGTTTCCTCTCGCCTTTAGGGAATATTGACAGACTTTAGAATACCAATTCTGTTGTACGGATCGACCCACCAGCAGCCACTATTTGTTGCTCCATCTGCAATTGACATATAAATTCGTTGAGATTAAGGAGAATGATCCACTAGTTTTCGTAACAATCATATGTACTGACCCTGAATAGATTCTCAAGCTTGTTTTTCACAAGACAGGTCTCTTGCTTTAATTGTTGCAGACATCTCAGGCACCTGCACCCAGAATTTTCCTTATTTTTATAAAGCTAATTTCATTCAATTCCGGACATATGTTAAAGGATCTCTACAGGAAAAAACTTTGGATTTTGTTCATGATATGAAGTTGAGCTTTTAAATGTTAGAAAACCAAAGTGATAAAAGTTCTAGTTCCAAAACCAAACTTCTAAAAATTTAGGGACCAAAATGAAAAGTAGATCAAATTCAAGGACAAAGCCGTATTTAAACCTAAGCATCATAACAGCCCAGCATAGCCTTCAAAAAGTAAGAACTCACCCCTCAATGTTCTGTTCCTCACAGAAGCTGCGGATAGCAATACAGACATTTTTAATTCTCTGTGCACCTACACTGTCAACCACAAAAAACCACAAAACTTCTCATTCTGTCGAGTTTTCAGATCTAAAATTGAGAGTTCCTTGTGAGAATCTTATTCAATTCTATGTTAGAGTTCGAAAATGGCTGTGAGAGATAGCCCAACACAAGCTGCCAAATGAAGACTTTCCTCACCCTGTGCTTTAAATTAGGCAAAATAATGGCTGTTTGGGAGCTATTATGAACAACAGCCCTTTACTTTCTAGACCAAACATGCTGAAGTAACTGTTGTTAACTTCTACAATCAAATCCATTGAACTATTTTTGAAAAGATGTCCATCCCTACCTGGAACTGCTTCCTTTAAGCTGATGAACATGGCCATCAACCTTCTGAAAGTCCACATCAGCCTCATCTCTGTAAAAAAAAAAGGCAAGGGAAAGAAAGACCCTTGTGTTTTAGGCAAAAGTTCCAGGAAAACCAGATCAAAAGAAAGAGAAACCCATAGATACAAAATTAAGCCTTGAGAAGTCTCACAAAGCTCTGGTTAGATCATTGATAAGCCTCTCAGAATCTTCAAAGAAAAGAGACACAACTTCAACTATGAAATCTGGGTTTCCCTCATCTTGCAGTTTCTGCAGCTCTATAAACTGACTGTCCAAGAAACCCTGGTCTCCCCACCAACAAAAGAGAAAAACAACAGAAATCAAACACTAGAATCAAGAAACCGAAACTAATAGAACAAACAAACCCAACCCCATCTATGATTTGATGATCTAGCTTTTGTTCTAACCTCCATGAATAGCGATTTTGTGTACTCGACCCATTGCCTCTGCATCAATCCCACCTCCATGCTTGCACTACACGCAAGAAGAAAACTCTGTTATTAGTTACCACTGCTACCCAAAGAAAGCACCTACCTTAAATTGCAGATCTTGAGCTGCAATAATTGCTACAGACAAAGGTTTGGAGTGCCAGAAAACCTTCAAAAAGTATTGCTAAGATGACTCCTCAATGATCCTTGTATAGTATAGCTCCAAATGCAAAACTTTTCCCTTATTTTTAGGTATTATTGGTTGCACTTAAACTAGCAGACCAACACAACTTTTCATCTTCTCTGGATTTGTGCACTGATTTTTTGTGTCCCCAACCTCCACAATTTGCTCTCTCTCTCTCTCTCTCTCTCTCTCTCTCTTGGGCTTTGTGTCATTTACTCATTTATGAACCTCAACTCTGAAAGGACTCCTTTACCATTTGATCTCCTTTTTGGTCTTTTCTTTACCTGCATTGTGCATTGGTTTTCTCTGTAACACTTTGTAATATTCCTTTTTGCTACTCTTTTTTTTCCCAAGAAGCTATTGGTTGCCATTAGTCGTTGAAGTTAAGCTTGATGATATTAAAAAGAAAAAGAAAGACTTTCATGGTTCTCTTTCATTGCATTTGGAATTTTGGATAGAGGGTGTCACAATGCAACTTTTAGCAAAGCGAAGTTGATCGTGCGCCACATCTATTGGTCGCTAAACTAGTAACCATATTCACACTCTTTTATTTTGTTCCTTCAACTTTTTAACAATTTATATTTCAATCTCGAACTTTTTAAAACTCAATTTTAGTCCTCCATATGTAGTCTGCACCTAAATAAAAGTGATATTATTCGTTTTGAATAATTTAGAATAAATATCGAAGGACTGAAATCGAGATTTTAGAAGTTAAATATCCAAGATGAAAAGTAGATAAAAACTTAAAAAGTACTGAAATTCTAGAAGTTCAAAGACCAAAACCATAATGTAATGAATAACTTCATCTATTAAAAAACATAGTCTTGTCAATTCAGATTCTATGTGTCATGTTATGTTCTATATATTTATATATATATATATTTCTCGGTGAAATTGATATTATAAGCTGAAGTTAGTGTGAAGCTAGAAGGAATCTGGATGGAGCAAATCGAACAGCTGTGTTTGATTTGTTTTAGTTGGGATTGATTAAGCAAAGAAGGGACAGAAAGTTGGACCAAAGTTATGCCATTTAAAACCCCTTCTTTTTTGTTTTGTGAGGTGAAAAAAAAAAAGGGAAAAAAATGTCTCTTGGTATTTTGGTGGGCTGCCATTTGTTTCTTTAGGAGAGGGAATCCTTATCCTTCTTTGGAGCGATGATGAGAATGAAATGACTCCTCAGTCCTCTTCCTTTTTTTTATATGTAAAAAAAGAAGGAAAAAAAAACGTAATGATGGGTTGGAAGTGGAACCATATTCTCATCGTTAATAGTAAAAAGGAATGTATTCTATTGGCTTCGAAAGGGATAAAATTAGAGTGGATCTTTGAATTTTTACCCAACTGAAAAAATTACCTCTCCTTTTACCAGCTTTTGATGGATAAGTCTCACTCACTAACACTTTCGTTATGGGATAAACAAATGCATATTTATTGTTCATGTGATCGGTCGAGTTTCAAAAATCTGTGTTTAAAATTACCTAAAAAGCTATGTCTTTTAGGTGTGTTTATGTTGAATAGTTCTTAGAACTCTTATGTCGGTGTGTTTTATGAAATTGTATCATTCGTTTGATCGCTCAAGTAAATTTCAATTTTTAATTCATCCACCCTTTTAAGAAAATTGACTCAAATAAGAATGCTTTTCAATTTTTAATTCATCCACCTTTTTAAGAAAATTGACTAAAATTAGAATGCTGATGATATGAACTTATGAAGCTTTGCAAAATTTTACATATGACCCCAAAATATTTAGACTTAAAAGAACGATCATGTTTTAAGTGTTTGATTTTAACACAAGGGTGATGTTATAATTTTAAAAAATATTATTTCATATGAGTTACATGTTTCCGAAAAATATATATATATATATAACTTGTGATTCAAAAATTCAAACAATTTACTTTATTTTTTCTTTTGATTTAACAATATGGAGTGTGAATTAAATCATTAATTTTTAAGATGGTAATAGATAACTTATCTATCTGGTTTATTACTTGAAGGTAAGTGGCCCACCTAGGGAGGACAATTGTAGGATACTCGTTTAATACCAAAAAGAAAAATAATATAGTAGCTGATAAGAGTTTACATGGCATTTCAATGTCATATCATATCATCATCCTGTCACTAAATCTCAAGGCATTAATGAACACGTTCTCTTTAGAAACTTTTGAAACATTGGATACAAAATAAAAATTAATATATATTTCAAAAATCAAATGCGTCATTTTAAATTATAAAAAAAATAATATACCACTCATGACCATGGCCTACTATGGACATGAATTTCAATCAATCACAACCTACGCTAACGTTTTTAGAAATAATCGAAGGTTCAACACATTTTCTGAAAATTTTTTTGCAATACACAAAAAAAAAAGTAATAAATAATAAATAATCGCACTTTCTAGACTGGAAAATTTTATTTTTATTTTAAAAAGTTGAAAACAAGTTTTTTGACACCATTATCAATCGATGCCTATATTCCTCACTTAAAAAAGAAAAGCGAAAATATTAGAAGAAAAAGGTAATGGTGGTACCATCTCTTATCCCATCCTTCAGCCCCAAGAAATTTTATTTGTTTATTTTTCTTTTTCTATTTCTTTTTTCTTTTTCTGTTTCTGTTTTTTGAGTTTAAAGAAAATTTTATATATTTCATATTCTTTTAATATCAGAAAATTTCCCCTCAATCCCCACCTAAGACAATAACAAGACAACTTTAGATATCGAAATACTTGTCATATACATCATGATCAATATTTAAGTACTTACCGATCAACACTCATCTTTGTGCTGATCATTAATAAAAATTGACAGCTTTTTTAGTCTTTTAGAAAATAGAAATATATATATATTCATTTCATTTCTCTTATTTGTTAGAAATTTAATGACGATAAGTAAAATATGAATACTAACCAATAAACACCTAAATATTTTTCATATATAAAGACGGAGGCTCTCAAACTTCTAGAAGAAGAGGGAGAAGGAAAAAACAGAAGCAGTTCATACTTGAGATTGATGGAAGGAGGAATCTCCATTACCATGGCCACTTTTGAGGTGCTTGTTGAGTGAGCATCTTGGCAGTGGCAATTGCTTTATTGATATGTCCAAACATTTGAATATTCCCACTTTTTGAGGACTTGTATTGTACCTGTGTGGGAAATGAGAAATGCTCTCTTTTACCCATATCACTAATTACCTCAGAACTCAGCTGGAATCTTTCATTCTAATATAATTTCTCAATACTTCAACTTCATGTTTATTTCTAATAATAAATGTTGAGAATTGTTCAAAACCTGAGTGATTTTGGCCTCTTTCCTTCGTGTCTTTCAGATGATTGAAATCCTGCTGGTTCCTTGAATTTGCTGAATTCATCACATCACAACTACTTACAAAGAGCCCAACATGCTGCCAAAAGATGAGGGCAATCATTATCAAGGCAACCAGTACCTATCAAGTGAGGATTTTTTATGGCATAATATAGTAGTTTTCAAACATATATAATAGAAATCAAACTAATAAAAAAAAAGCATGGAAGATTTCTAGATTTGAGAGAACGAGAGGACTTCGTTACTTACGTGTAAACGAACTTGTTTATTGACCGCTTGTGAGCTTGTCTTCCCAAGAGATGAACTTGTTTATTGCCCCGCTTGTGAGCTTGTCTTCCCAAGAGATGAACTCGATGATGGATTTGATGTATAAAAGTATGAAGAAAAATGTAAAGATTGTGATTTCGTCTCTTCGTATCATGAACTCGTTTCTCCCAAAGACGAGTTCAGAATTTGAAAAGTCAATCTCACCGCATTCTCACATCATTCCCACATCAGAAAAACTATTGTATATTCCTATAATATCTATAAACTATAGTTTTTAAAACTACAATATTCTTGTAAGAAAATACAATCAAAATAAGAAATAAAGATGATAAAAGTAATAATAACTCAATCCATTCATCCTTCCTTCAGAGGGCACAAGTTAGCCACAATCAATGGAGAATGACTGATGAATAATATTTACGTGGTCATCCAAATTTAAAAAATTGACAATTAAGAGATATGAATACAGAAAACAGAGAAAATAGAATAAATAACTGTAGGTAACTATAAATATTATTATTCTACAACTCTATGACTCTACAACTGCCATGCCCAACAACAAAAAGGTAAAGAATTTCATGCGTGACAAAACTTTATCAAGCAATAATTCCTAAATATTTCTTTTGAGAAGAAACAAGGCTTTCATTAGGGCAAGGGGACAGGAAGGAAATTAGCACTCAAAAGGAAAGAAAATGCCAAATAAAGCCGACCATTTTAAAGATAATACAATTACTATGAACTATCCACGAAAAACAAGAAATTACCGCCTGAAGCTACCGAAATCTTGCGTGGAAGGAGCAGATTGTAGAGATCAACAGATCCTGCAACTCCTCCTACAGTAGCCAGGAAGTTCCGGAGATCCAACCATGTACTCTGGGTTTTTGGTGCATTCCCCTAAGGCAGCCCATCTCTCACAATTTTCATTCTGGTCAGTACAGTTCCCAATGTCTGTCAAGTTCTTGCTGAATGAGTCTACGTGAATCCACTTTGTTGCTGACCATTTTTCTCCTTCAATGACAGGGCAACCTCCATGCAGACTGTTGGTGTCTGGGATAGCATTTGGATCAAGACTAAAGAAAAGAAGGGCATCACCTTTCCTTGGTTTCACTACACCATTCCGATGGGAATAAAGTCAGATAAAAGTATATAAACTTCATTCGAGTTCTACAGTTTGAATAGTTCTGAATAAGCACTCATAGTTTGCTTAACAACTCACCAGCAATTCCTTTCTTTGCACACTCTGAGAGATCCTCATCTGTTTCCAAAGCCTGTCGGTGGCGAGATTTCTGCTCACAGATTTATATAACGAGGTTAAGCAGATCTGTTGTCGTATATGGTTATTTCTTAACCAAATTCATTTAAGATGTAACCTTAATACTGATTACAGAATTTTGTTCAGAGTTGGTTGTTTCCCCCGAGGAAAACTTTCAAAAATCCCAGATGTTTCATTGTCTGATTCTATCCACCAATAATTAGGTCCAAATATTGGGGAATTGGTAGATTTTAATTCTTAGAAATAATAAAAATAACATATTTTCCCAACTGAAGTTTTCTTCAACAAAAGGGGCCATGCGGCAGCAACTGCTAAATGCCTCTAAGACAAATACTATTGCATCCACAATGAATGGGGATTGGTCGGTAGACATTTTGATTGAGGAAGATAATCGGGAAAAGGTCCAGAAAAAGAGTTTCAAATGGGGTAACAGAATCCGATACCAACTTGAACAATGATAAGGCTGTTCTCTGTAAGAGGTCCTAAAAATAAGGTAAAGTATTCAGGATCATCTAACATTGAGCTTCCTAAAAACTTTCTAATTAGAGAGCGCCAAATGTATACAAACTACGAACACAAAAAGGTGGGATCAATTTTTCCAAACATTTATATTATATTAGTTTTCGATGCATCGGAGTTAACTTTACACCCGAAGTCCTCAAAAAGATGCATTTCATCAGAATAAATTCTAAGGTTTATTATGTAGAGAGATTTTTCCAAACATTTGCGTTACTTAAATAGTTCAATGCATCGTAGTTAATCTTACACCCCAGAGTCCTTAAAAGGATGTTTTTCAGCAAAAGACTGAGTAGTGAGTACTAAGGTTTATTATTTAGAGAGTACTGAGATCTGAAAAGAGGTAATCTTACAATAGCAAACGAGAAAAATAAGCAGTTGTAGTAAAGTATGCTGTTAATCAACACTTGAACAAACCTCTGCCAAGGGGAAAACCGTTTCGCCGCCTTTGGTCACGTCAGAGAGATACATGAGGACAGTAGCTAAACGATGTCCTCCCCGAGCAAGATTCACCTTGTCAACAAAGTAATCATAATGTGACTCGTATCTCTGCCCATGTTCATATCTCAATACTTGAATGTCCTCCCCATTTTCTGAAAATCAAGAAATACACAATTCATTTGGCAGTAATTCTTGGCATCAATAATATATCCTCTCCTTGGCTTCTCGCAGAAATAAAGACACCATGAATGTTACTTGTGGTGAATGAGCTGTAGCAATTCAAATATATATGATGTATCTATGGCGAAAAATGTGATTTGACTGTGAACGAATTGTATACCTTTTGGAAGAAAAGTCCACGCAGCAATCTTGTCCTCTATGCCAGCAACAATGGGATCCTAAATATCAAATTAAAATATAAAACTACAATACAATCACAAACATTGGGGTCAAAAGATGGGGTGAAAAAAAGGGGTCTCATCTGATATTTGGTAGATCAATTTTAAGACACAAGTGGGAAGAGCACAAAGTACACTGGTCTAGACAATATATTGGATTTATTATACTCTAATAGCTCAAGTTTTTTAATCTAGTGGTGATTTAACTAGATACAGGAAGGAGGTTTTAAGTTATTATTCCTAAAAAATTGTTTACTCTCTAATTTTGTATTAACAGTGCAGGTAGTGGTCCTAATTGTTAAGAATCTCACATTGAAAAGAGAGTAGATTACATAGGTTTATAATAGACATGGACTACATAGACGTTGTGAATCAATCTTGATCAGGAGCATTCCTGTCGTAATGTGATTCTTTTATGTAAAGGCAGATCATTAAAACTACATATGTTTATAATAGATATGGGCTACATGGACGTTGAAATCTAAAGAGAAATTAGAGAAAAGTATCCAGAATGGAAGGAGATATGCGTTGAGATCAAACCTAACCTCACGATTCGAAATGAACATTCCTGAGCTCGTTCGAACTGTACTTAGCACGCTCTCTCCAGACTTATCATCAGCAACCTCAGATCTCTTTAGCTCGGATCTTGCCTATCGCAGATGAAAAACAAGCCTTCAACCAGATATTCATAATGACGACATGACTTCCAAATCAAACTGAATGATAAATATCACTAAAGCTACACTTACTAGAGAAACCAGGTGATCACATTCCAGGTCCGTGAGAAAGCCTTCATATACAAAAGCTCTGCAACACCAGTAAAATTTTGAAAATCGTAAATAAAGAGAAGACAACTTAATTACTGTTATTGCACTTGATCAAGGCCATTGCAACAGCAAACAGTCACTGAACTCAACCTAGACGACCAAAAATTAGAAGCTAAAAGAATTAAGAGTTCAATATTTTCTCTTCCGCAATTTTCTCAGCAACCAAACACAATAGAACGAAATAAAGAAGATACGTGCGTTTGGAAACGATAGCGCTAAAAACCTCGGTTTCCTTGAAATCTGCTTCACTTTACTAGGATCTACGGTGGAGCTCGCCGAACCAGCATACGAACAAGTGGATTCCCGAACAAGCGATGAGATCGAAATCAAGAACATAAACAACAGAGAGCGAAATCTGAACATAGTGTTCGCTCGGATCGAAGTATAGAGAGAGAGAGAAAGTTATCGGAGAATATGATGAACTCTGCAAGTTCAGAATATCGGAGGGGGAGGCTTCATCTCAGACGAGTCAACGTCGAACTGCCAATTTAACACGTGTGAGGTTGCCACGTCAGAACGAGAAACACGTGCTTAAAGTTAAAACTAGCCGAGCTGTGGTGCGCATTAAATAAAACGCGCGCTAAATTAAATGGGTGTTCATCATTGATCGGGCGAAAAATGATATTTATCCAATTAAAAGCATATTAAAAATTTTGAGAAAATTACAAAACTACCCTTACTTATAATCACATTCTTGAAGTTTCAATTGGATTAATTAACGCTCTAAATTTATCAAATTGCTGCAATTAAACTCTTAAATATTATAAGATTACCAATCATCTCTAAACTATAAATGTTGTTATAACCAAATTTAAATTTTCTACATCAATTTTTTGTTTTCTTAATTAAGATATCGGCTCAGTATTGGTTTATAAATCAAAACTTTTAATGGTTAAAATTTTTGTGCATTTACGGTATTTAAGAGTGATGGATCATATTCAAAATTTGAGAGTGTAATTGTAATAGTTTGGATTTTAAAAATTTAAATGATATTTTACCTTTGACCATAAATTATTTCTAAAAATTGCTACCCCATAATAATTAGGGATATGGGAGATTGAATCACTGGCTTCCAGGAAAAAAATATATCTCAATTATATTTAGTCAATATAAATTTTTCATCAAATTTGTAGAGTGCTAATATTTCAATAACACTCTCTCTGAATTATAATTATATTCTTCAGTGTTTTTTCCTACCCACTATTTTTTTTTCCTTAGCTTATGATTTGCAAGTGAGCATTCATTACGAGTCTATAGCAGTTCAGCAATAAACTTCGAAATTAATGTCCCTTCCAAACTTAAAGCATTCTAATGGAAAAATTGAAGATGATAACCTTTGGATCTATTTATACATCTAGATATTATTCGTTCTAGGGCTAAGTCTGCATATTCGTTTTTTTTTTAAACTCTACTTAAAATACCTCATACTTATAATAAATATTTTCGATGTCTCTAATTTTTTTATCGATAAAGGAAGATCTTTGATAAACTTTATTGTAAAAATTGTCAAATTGATTTTACCTATCGATTATGTAACAATTTGAAATGTTGACGGAATTTCTGGATCTACGCTTATTCGCAACTCTCCAAAGTATTTTCTCGCTTATAATGTAGAAAAATTTTTGGTAGTTTTCATCGTAAACATTTTCAAATAGACTTTTCTCTTGGTATACTTTTACAAAACAAAATCGTCATATCTTACTTGCACACAATTTCACCTGTACGAAGGGTTGATCTATTTGAGAATCTCCAGATCTATGCTTACTTTCAATCGTGGCATACTACACCCTTCCTCATACATTCTCATCCAAACCAAAACATGGTGGTAGAAAAGACGAAGAAAACTTCAATTCACAAAATTGAAACATGAGGATCATACGATCGAGTAAAATACAGCATAAATATCATATACAAATAATCTCATACGAAGTTTTCTCTTTTCTTTTTCTTTCTTTCTTTTCCTTTTTTTTTTGGGAGCAAAGTATCTGTGTCAGGTGATAAGAAATCTAAACATTAATATTACAGGTTCCTAAGACAACCTCCAAATGTCGATCCATGTCACTTAAATACTTGGTAGAATTATACTCTTCTGCATCCAACAGCTCCTCAGAGTATGTCCTCTGAAGTTTGGACTTCTGTCGTTTTACAAGCTCCTTACCAACTTCATCTCCTTTCAGAATCTGGACCACCTGCCATATATTTAAGTAGAAAAATGCTCTCCTTTGATCAGTTAAAAAGCAACAAAATCAACTTTATCAACGTTGAAAGAAAGACATGATGAGCATAATTTCAAAGTTTAGAAATGAGATGAACGTGAGAGCTTTTAGATTGATTGATAGGGATGACACTGGAGCAAGGTAGGATCGAGATACAATATACATATTTTACTCTATTCAAATCAAATAGGTCTCTAAATTTTAACTGTCGTATATAATAGGTCCTTAAGTTTTAAAAAGTGTCTAATAGGTAAAGGATCTATTAGATATAAAATTGAAAGTTTAGAAATCTTTTAGTACAAAATTGCAAGTTAAAGGATTTATTGGACATTTTTTTAATTTAGAAACCTCTATTAGACATTTTTTAAAGTTCAAAGATCTATTAGATATGATCTTGAAAGTTCTAACACCGAGCTTATAATTGAACCTTTTTTTTTTTTTGTCTTCATACCCACCTCATGAATGAGGGTCGGAGATCAGGCCAAGGGTGGGGCAGTAATCTCTTTTTTGACTTCGACAAGATAGAGATATGAATGAGCGAACCAATACACAGCAATTACAGGTACCAAAAGTTTTCCAACAATAGGAGGATCCATTTGTATTTACATCAGACAGCTATCAAAGAAGGATGGATATTTTCCTCAAGATAGAGTGCATACCTCACTCATTTCTGGCCGTTGAATTGAATACTGATGTATGCACATCGAAGCAATCGATATCATACGTTTCATTTGTTCGGTGTCATGTGCGTCACAAAGAGATGAATCAACAAGCTCCTTGAGATCATGCTTAGAAAGCAGAGGTTTAGCCTGCAGATGGTTTTAAAACAGAATAGTTTTCATAAACAAAATTGTTCCAAAGATCAGCAAAAACTAAGGTTGCAGTAGTGGACGTACCCACATCACAAGGCTTTGTTGTGAGGTATCCAGTGCTCGTCGTCCGGTAATAAGTTCCAATATCAGTACTCCATAGGCATAGACATCAGTTTTTTCATCAACTATGCCGTGCATAAAGAACTCGGGAGGAAGGTATCTATAATAATCAGAAGAGACAGAAGAGGAGGGTCAGGCTAATAATATGTTTGGTTTCTGAACTTTCGGAATAGATCTCTAAATTTTCAAGATTGTATCTACATACTAAAGTTTATAATAGGTACTAGGACTTTCGATTTTGTGGCTAATAGGTCCACGTGTTAACTCTAATAGTTTAACAATTATGCCATGAAAGGATTTAACTTGTTTGAATCAACACACCACATAATCTTTAAATAATATAGTCAGCGTGCCATAAAAGCACTAAATTGGCAAAATTAATGATAAGGACCTATTAGACGCAAAATTGAAAGTAAAGAGACTTTAAAGCATAGAAAGGAACCAGATAGATATGATCTTAAAATAATAGGGACGTATCAAAAACTGTTTAAAGTTAGGACCACGCTTGAAATTTAACAACAAAAATTCTTAACAATAAGTTTTGATGACAAACCCGAATGTGCCTTCAAACTTTGACACAGTATGGTGAGTCCATTGATCTGGCAGCCACTTTGCAAGCCCAAAGTCGGATATCTGGGTTCATTTTCAAGATTCACCAAACTAAAACTTGAAACATATAATGGATGTCCTTTACTGTATTAGCAGTATGAAAGTTTATGTTGGTTACTGTAAAGAGTTCCAGTGTATGTAATTAATTTCCATGCACAAACTTCTCAAGCCAATCGAAATGTATGAATGCAAAACAAAGGGAAGTCATTTATGTTTGTATGTTGAGTTCAACTCTCGCACATATCTCCTGCTACAATGTATTGTTGGGACTAATGAGGCAACACTTGGATAACTGCCAAAGCATAAAGCATACCTGAGGCTCAAAATCATCTCTAAGCAATATATTAGAGGCCTTAATATCTCTGTGGATTATTCTTCTTTGACAGCCTTCATGAAGATACAAGAGGCCTTCAGCAATTCCTAGAGCAATATTGTACCTCATTGTCCAATCAAGTCTCTCCTTTGACTCTAGATTATAGAGGCCAAATTAGCGATAGATTTAACAGTTGGAAAAGCAAAAGCTTGATCATAAATAACAAACCATAAAGTATGGATGCCAGGCTCCCATGGGGTGATAAATGAAGTATAAGGTGCATTCCCCCTTCAACTCCATACCCAATTACATTCGCGATATTAGGATGATCGACATGGACAATGATTCCGAGCTCAGACAAGAAGTCTGCAGTCATCTCTTCTTGGCTACCTCTTGTAAGCCGCTTGATCGCCACAAGTTGCCCATCTTCCAACTGCCCCTTGTAAACTTCAGAATAACCACCCTCGCCAATCAAGTTTTCTTTGGGAAAAAAAGAACGATGGTGTTCATCAGCATACAAACTAGATATTTGTTTCCACTAATACCATAAAAAGTAAGGGTATATTAATCGAATTTCACATCAACAAGGCTAATTCGAGGCTTAGAAATATACCTTTGCTGAAGTTATTGCTTGCAGCTTTCAGCTCTGAAAGTGTGAAATTCTTCCAAGAAGATCTGAAGTAGCAAAACTCGGTCTCTATGGCAGAGCTCACCACTGGTGAGAGCACCGGAAGCATATCCTCTCTGATTCTTTTGCTCTTTCTTCTGGTGAGTTTTGGAACAGCCTTAAGAGGAGGAAATGCGGGCTGAAATCGCATTTGAGGAATTTGAGGACCTTTCTTCAGTAAACGAAAGAAACCTCTCCAGTGACTCGCATTTCTGGAGTCAGGATGACCATCCCAGTCGGAGGTGCTGGTCAGTGAAGTTGTAGTTTCAGAATCTAAGCTTCTAGAGCAGTCCTCGAGCACCCCTCTTGGAGATGACTCAGCTTTGCCTCCATTTTCCAAATCTAATAATATCAACTCTATGAGCAGAGCCAGAAATTTTTCAGTGACTTGTTATATATAATATATATAATCTATTCATTGTAAAAATTATTAAATTTTTAGTATTTTATATACATATTTTGAACTTATTCTTTTTTTCTTGGCTCCGCTCCTAAGTACATCATCAATGATAAAATACTTTCAGGAGCTTAGAGATTTTCATACCATGAGTAGCGAAAGAGTCAGAGAATCCACGCGTTCTTCTGCTCCCTAAATTGGGAGTCCCCGCAACTTGATCTGTCTCATCATTTGAGTGATTTTTCCTAGCAGTATCGCCCGATTCGTTGCTGCTCAACAAATTTCCAATGTCAACAATGAATTGACAGCATAATAATGATAAAAGCTCGACGAAACATCCAAAATAACCCAATATGCAACCTTTGGGAGAGTCTAACTAGTGATTATCAATATATCAAACCTAAAAAATTTGAACTTATAGATTTAATATTTTATTCATATTCTCAATAAATTTGAAAGAAATGGCTTCATAGGGAATTACAGAAAGAATAAACCAGTCAAGGGAGGAGGAACAATAATTTTTTTATTTTTTTTAACCTTCAAATGAATACTGAAACGTGCAAAACTAAGCCGAAATCAAGCCAGTTTCGTTTTCAGGACCAAACCGATTGTTGATGGTGTGTTTTGATTCATCAATTTTTCTATACGTCCAAATTAAACGGACGAATCAAAAATACCTCGAGACCTCATCCTACCAAGAAAAGGTACTGCTGGGAAACGAAAAACCAAAAGAAAATATGTAAACAAAATGATGTGTTCTAAGTAGAGATGCAACAACCTTCGGGACGTGTGAAGCTCAATCGGATCGCATCCAGCCACATTCTCAGAGTCTCGATGATCCAATTTGTCTATGATCGAAACTTCCAACATCTTGGATCGCTGTAACGTTCGCTCGCTGGTCTTACTACTGCGGAAAGCAACAAGAACTGGTCGAGCTCAAGCACACTTAATCGTTTCAATTCTTACTTCTAAACATTTTTAATTATTACCCTACCATGTTGAAATCTGCAGATAACAATCACATCGTCCCCAATAAAAGATAAAACAAAAACCTAACAATAGCCATTACGAAACCCAAATTCCGCACCCTACAAGCAGCAAATCTACATAATCAAAAGGCCTCATACATTTTAAACATCGCAAAATCTGAAAAGGAAGCAAAGGAAGAATCACCTTGTAGAAGAAGCCGAAGATTCTCGATCATTTTCCATGAAGCTTATGAGAAGCACTAGCCAGAGAAGGATTCGGAAAGCAACCCAAGGAAATGGAGGAGGAAGAAACAGAGACTCACAGAGAGAGAGAGAGGGAGAGGTGAGTAGCGGTTGGCATGAATTCTCTTCGCCATTTCAACATTCTTTCTATTCTTGATTGATCTCCGAATTTCGATGCTCCAAAATCGGATTTAAATTTGCATCTTCCCTCAAGGCTCTACGTCATTCTGTAATTGAAAAACAGCAATCAATCAGACGAAGGAGAAAAAAAAGGAAAAACTATATGCAAACATGGCGTAACTGAGAATCGAAATTATGTTTAAGCCTTCAATTGAAAGCAAAGCACGTTAAGGAGTTGCAATTTTCCCGGGAAAATTAAAATCGGTTCTTGTCTTTTGGCTTCTCGACGCGTGCGATTTCAAATTCTTGTTATCTTCCTTCCAATCTCAACCTTCCAACTCCTTTTGTATGCCATAAATTAAAATCCGTGAGTGTTTAATTTTACGGGAAAATTGCCTTAATTGTTACGTGGGATATCATGAACTTTTAATTCACTCTTTAAATTCTTTTATTTACCTTGGTCCTCTTAATCAATGAAGATGATTTTTCAATTTATACGAATAATGTACTTTTTTTATGATATTATCATTGATAAATCTTCTTTTTTAAGTTAAAAGATTTTTGTCAAGTTAAACATTGAGATTTTCTTTTTTCTTAATATATCAGGTATACTTTACCGATATAATTGATATACTTCATAAATATATGAGTCACACTAAATATATGGACGATATATTTTATATTAAGCATATTATTCATAAATCTTCATCGAGTAAAGATTTTGATTTAAATAATATGGTAGGTTTCTTATTAATATATAGAAGGTATCAGAGATATATTTTATTTTAAATATATCATTAATATAATTGATATTAATGATATACTTGATAGCAGGTATATTACTTTATATACCAAATATAAAGTATATTCGTTGATGACATAATTCACCTCGCTAATATTATACTAAAAATGATTGAAAATCGGCTAGTTTTTATTAATTAATTCACGTAATAATTCAAATTACAGGTCTTGACATTTCTTCATCATTTTGGTTCACACACACTTTAAATCCTATAATCAATAAAATCATCCACGTTCTATTGTAATCAATAATTTCATTCTCTCTCTTTGGAACAAAATCTCTCTCATTTTTTTAAAGTCTGTTTGTGCAACAAAATGTGGTCTCGACCGGCCAAATTGAGATGAACTGAATGAACGAGTAAACGAATCGGAGTGAGTTGGAAGATCTTACATTGAAATGACTTACACAAAGAGATAAACGCTCTGACGATTAAGTCAGTAAGGAGGTCGACCTTAGTATTAAGACCGAGATAGAATCAGATACCCGACTGTGAAGCGGGGCCCTTATTTATGGATTTGGATGTCCGGTAGCATATTCAACAAGCGGTTGAGCATATGAGATTACTGATATTCCTATTGGAGATGATCGTGTTTGTCGTGCAGAGTTGGAGCTCCAATACACGCTTATTTAGTTAAGTTAGCTTGGTCGTTCTTGGGATGGATCGAGTCTATGAGATCGTTCCTTCGATTGGTTGTCCCGCTCTCCCGCTTCAGTCGTCTCGAACCATCAGGTTGAGGTCCATTCAATATCCTCCCGGTGGCAATGCTATCTTACACCTCCAACAAAGCTTTTAATTACTGAGGTTTATAAAATCTCTATTATCATATTTTATGCATTAGAATATTTTTTTAAGTACAACATATGGAGATAGGGATCCAAACTCACGACTTTTTGGTCAGACAAGTGTCTTCACCATTGAACTACATTCAAATTGGTTGCATTAAAATTGCATTGAATCATACTTACTAATAATTTACATATATATAACTATTATATGATACTGAAGGATGAAACTCCAAATCATTCAAACTAAGTACACTCTATAGTTGTGTAAATTATAATATAATTTTAGATTTTTTTTTTTTGAAGTTACCGTTTATTTTACTCAAGTCTCTGAATTTTAAATATTATGTTTTGTAATCACAAACTTTGCATTTATAATAATTTTAGTTATTAGTATTGAGTTTTTTAAATCATTTTGAAAGAGTCTAAGTGTTTGGTTTTAAAATGAATGAAAATTTCATTTAAAATGATAATCTAATGTTCGATTTTTGGATTGAATAGCCTTTCGCATAGGTCCACTTTGAAAAACCTTATAATTTTTTAAGGTAAGTTCAAGAATTTAAAAATTAAAATTCAGGAGGTACTTGTGCATGTCAACAATTAATTTTAGAAGAAGGGCTAGCAATTTTCGAAGGCTTCCACTACCGTAGAGGATGAATTTGTGCAAGATTAAACTTGAGTCTAATTCCTTGCAAACCTTAAACAAATCGAGTACATGGGTTGGTGATATCCTCTCTTTTGGCTCAAAATTTTGAATTTGTCGACTATCGTCGTGTTAAGATTGAAATTATCATGGGTTGGTTCATTGATTCAACGAAACCAATCTAAATCAAAAAAATTTAAAGACAATGAGTTTAAACCCCATAATGACCTTTATCTAAGAATTAATTTACTATATGTTTCATTCGTAACCAAATGTAATTAAGTCAGACAATTTTGTAGCCCATAAGTTGGAGAAAGGAGCAATTTCATCATCTTATTTGATATTGTGGTTATCCTCTTTCCTTGGCTGCTTAGTGTATCTAATGTAGAAAGTTAAAATATAGTCCATGTAGCTTGTTCTATAAGTTAATGAAGTTTACTATAAAATAATATAATTTTTTTAGTACAATAAGTAGAGGTGGAAGATTCGAACTTATGACCAATTACTGCTCATGTGGACGAAAAGAATAGCATTTAAACCATTATTTTATCAACCTTTCAATAAGTGCCCAAAAAGTGGTGTTTCAAAGCCTCTTGAAAAAGCCTACCTTAGGGGAGAAATTGCTAGATCGAATCTCAAAAACAAGATCCATCAATTTGGCCCCTCTGGCCAAATCTAAATGATATGGGATACATAAAAAATAAAAAATAAATAAAATAAAAAATCTCCATTTCCCAAGTAATACAGTTTCGTGTACCAAATTCTCAAAAGAAATTTCATATAAAATTAGGCAAAGTTTTTGAGGAAAAATCACATGGCTCCTTAATAATATAAAATCTTTTGACAAATTTACACAAATATATACCTAATCGTACTCCATTATATATTTGGTAGGTAGATTTGCTAATCTTATCCTACAAATTTGCTAATTTGACTAGATACATAAATTTAAGAGAATTAATAATGGGTAGATAGCAACAAGGAAAAATATTTGAAATGTTTTTTTTTTTTTGTTTTTTCAATTTTATCCTTCCAGATTTTTCTAATTTAACTAGCTACATAAATTCGGAAAAATATTTGAAATGTTTTATTTAGTTTTTCCAATTTTACCCTTTCTGATTTTGTTAATTTAACTAGCTACATGAATTTAAGAGAATCTATAATGGGTAGATAACAACCACACTCTTGAGTTTTACATACGGAAAAATATTTGAAATATTTATTTTAGTTATTTCAATTTTACCCACCTAGATTTTCAAATATATCAATAATATATCAAACTATGTGTGTATATATATCAAATATATGTAGGTTATAAAAGAGAGACATTTCTTCTATGTAAATAACACAAAACAATTCAATAAGTGAAACTTTCTATAAATAAAAAAAAAATTGAAACATAGTTACTATATATGAATGCAAATAGTATATCAATCAGTTATAACAAATATATTGTCGCCAAAACGAGCATAGCTCAGCGATAATTGACATTGACTAATTTTACAAAATTGAAACATAGTTGTTACTTTTACAAATAATTTTTTGCTACTTTTGCAAGCGCCGTAAATTTAAACTTCCTAAACTAACTCTCTTTCTCTTTCACAAATCATAGCCTCATGAATAAAATATATGTTTACACAAACCTAGATTTTCAGTAACTCATTTGTCATTTGCCAGCATATTATAAACATATATTATACAAATTCAAACTTTTCTAATTCCTAACTTATTAAAACAATGACACATTTACAAGAATATCATTCAATTCAATTATTCTCATGACTAAGGTCTCTAGAATATATAGTACTAGTAGTTAAAAATTTTTATTTCATTGAACTCGAAATGAATATAAGTAGTAGATATACAGACCTGAAACAGAAGTTAACTGGTGCGAACACCAATGCTAATGAACGCTACATACAATATATCCAAAGCATTTTCAGTGTACATTACGAGTAATCAACCCTTCAAATATGGTAAATAGGTCCTTGTTATCCGGGCCAAATATCTCATCGGCCTTCCGAAGGGTCTCCTGAAATATCAAACGATGATTCGTAAATGTTTAAGCGTGTGCGTGTGCGTGTGCACGTGAGGAAAGATAGAGACAGAGACTAAGAACCATACCTCTTTTGTTTGCTTGTGGGCATTCAACTCTTTAACATTGGTTAAGAATGCACTGAACTGCTCATACGACAACCGGCTCCTATAGCAGATGAACAAATTAGAAATCCTTGTAACATAGTTAGAGTTTTGATTATCTAAACGATGGAGTATTTCGATTTTTTTCTAAAATATTACAGTTCAGTTCAAATAAGTGACCGAAGATTTGAACCTATAACTTCTAAGCAATGTTACTCATGCTTAACTAGTTGAGCTATATCGGTTGGCAGAGATGGATGGGGTGAGTTTGGTAACATGACTAACAACTACCATTTTAGTCGAGAAAATGAAGCACATGTATTTGGCATGTACGTGATTTCACAGAACATCCCAATGATCTGCTAGGTTCAACATTAGTATTATTAAGAATGAGTTAACTTGATGTGCCCTTACCTCACTTGGCGGAAGAATTCTTTCCCATCAACCCGAGTTCGTCCTGAAAACGATTAATAAAGGTGATCAAAACATTCAGTAAAGCATCAGTCAGTTACATTCTTCAAATGCAATCGACACAATCATGAAATGTATGCTGTTTGGCTGACTTTTTGTTAAGAAAAGTATCATTAAACTCAGCTACTGTGTTCAGAGAAAGTTGTGTACTGTGTGATATGATTGGTGTGAATGCAAGATACATACAAAAACAAGCTGATCTTGTGTTGGGTCAAAATTTCAATCCCATCTTCTCTTTGCTGATAAGAAATGATATAATAATACTTTCATAACATGCTCATAAAAGAATGCTCCAACTTTTGTAATGATAGGAATATTACACACCATATTTATATCTGTCCATTAGTTAGCTCAATATGTCGTTACCAAATAATACTAAGAGCAAAAACCACATTAACATAATATTTATAATCGCATAGGATCACTGAAATGAAATATAAGCACATGGGCAAAACCGTGAATGTTTGTTGTTTTCAATCTACTTTATGAAAATTATATAGTTTCAAGAATATTAACAAAAATAAGGTAGTTTTACTCGATAACGAAACGATTTGTCACTAGACTATTTTATGCATAACACGATTTACTTAATTTGGAATTATTTTGAAACCAACCCCTTTCTAAGAATTCTTTCAGAAGTGCAAAAAAGACCTGAAAATCCATCAGATAAGAGGGATAAGAAAGAGAGGTGAGAACACTAGACATTCCCCAAAAGAAAATTGCACTATAACCAACCAGAGTTCTTTTCTTAATGATCTCTAAAATGAGCAACCAACTGAATTCTAAATTACAAATTTGCAAGGAAGAGAGATTTTGGAGCTAACCAGTATGAGTTCCTGCATGAGGGCTTGAAACTGAACTGTGATTGCCGGAGAGAACAGGCGAGTACATCGAGTTCCTATCAAACATCCCCCTTGAGACAGAGAATGACATCGAATGACGCTTTGGGGAAGCAGGTTTAGATGTTCTCGTAGGAGAAACTGATGCAGAAGAAATGGGAGGAGAACCAGGAGGTGTCAGCCGAGGTGTGCTAGTCTGTGATGCTAACAGAAGGCGGTTTGAAATACGAGGTCTTGAAGCTGCCATTGCAACACAGAGGAAAAGGAAAGTGTAAAACAACAAAGAACGAAGGCTGAGAGATATAAATCCGTCCTTAAATTTCGGGTTAACTAGAAATGATTAAACTTAAGCCTGTTCCATGGTATATGCTGCTTTACACATTTAGCAATTTTCTACAGTTATCAGTTTGTGTATTGCGTGTAGGAAGAACTATCATAAGATTCATAACTTCCAAGATTTATCAATGCAGTTATTTACCATCTGCGTCCTGCTCTTCTTTTACAGAATTCACTGTTTCAGAAGTGTTGCTCTGGATTGATGAGTATCTAGACGGTGGCAATGTCAGATCATCTTCTAAAACACATTAAAAGAAAATGTCCAAGTCAGAAACAATGGCATACATGAAAGGAAGTTAGGAAGATCCATAAAAAGTTTGGTTATCATATAAAATTATCAATGTGCTCTACAACTATAAGTAGGCCATCAAAAATAAATCTTTGCATAACGATGTTGAGCAAACAATAGAACTGATCCCAAGCAACTCATATTACCTACAATCTGCGGAGCAGAAGGCAAACTTTCCTGACTCTGTATTTGAGCAACAGCCTCTGAACCTCCTGTCTGTAGTAGCAGAAAGAGGGTTGGAATCAGAATTAAAACGTTGGTGGGAACTTTGATGGTCGTGTTTAATAGACCCTAAACTTTCGATTTTGTATCTAGTAGGTCTTTGAAGTTTAAATACGTCTCCGGAGTCAGAACTATTCCGACATTACTGAATGTATTAGGTCCTAAGCATAAATCTATGAATTTTAAAAAAAAAATGTGATAGTTAGAGAACCTATTAAACAAGAAATTGAAATTTCAGTGCTCATTTGGTAAAGTTCCTATTTCTTGTTAGAAAAATGAATTGCATAGCCCTAACAACTTTTCTATTTGTGTTTTAGAACAAATTAGAAATTGGAACGAAAATAAATAAACTTGTTTTAGTTGTTTTCAAAATTACTATACAATTTTGAGAATATTTCCAAAAAGGAGAAACAAGAAATATAATTAGTGTAAAATGCTTAGATTTCTTATAAAAAATTATAAACGAAAAACAAGAAACTGGAACGTTGCCAAATGAATCCTTAGTAACAGAAACTTATTATAGATTAAGTGGCCTACTTGACACAATCTTAAAAATGCAAAGACCAAATTTGTAATTTAACCAAATTTTAATTCTTCAGCTAGAAAAAAAAAACCTTCTCGAATCGTTTGAACGTTCTTGGTATTTGATAGAGAGACAACTTACGGAGTTCTCGTCTTCGCGTAGGGACTGCATAAGCGTCTTTCTGAAGACCTCCAACTGCAGATAAATGAAGAGAGAATCAAAACTCTAATATCAGTGCTAACAAACTTTACATATATTAATGGTATTAAAGTAGCCCCTGAACTATTTCCTGCTAATCCGAAATGTTCCACCATTTCCTCTAATAGAATATAAAATTTTTTACCAGTTTCACAAATATATGAATCGTATTTTGCACTATAATTCAACACGAATGGTAATCACGAAGCGACTCCATTGTAACTTCGAAAATTAAAATATTCGTCGTAATTACATTACATTACGGGCTAATTTTATCAGATAACTCAGAAACTCAATCCAAACCAAACACTCGAATGCTAATGCTAACTTGCTGAGCGGAAAAAACAAATTAATACACTTAGGCTGTACCTTGGAGACATCTCTATTGAGTTTCTTCACGGTATTAGAAAGCGACGCGTTCTCTTCCAACAGCGTCTCCTGCAGATAATCCAAGTTAAAACGAATCGAAAACCGCGAAGAAAATAGAAATCAAACCGAAAAAACTGATTGGCCGGACCTTTGCCCTGTCGACGCGGGCGAGTTCGTCGGCTTTCTCGGAGAGGGCGGCGTCGAGGGAGTCGATCTGAGATTGCAGGTCGGCGATGAGCGCGTCCTTCTCGGAAATCTGGGCATGGAGAGCGGAGGATTCGGATTCGAGAGCGGAAACACGCGTCGAGAGAGCAATGGAGGTGATCTTCCGAGCCACATCGAGCTGCTCGAATGGATCCGACGGTAGCACCTGCAGCACCTCCTCGGGAAGGCCGAAATTGGCAACACCCGATTCCTGCTCCCGCATTTCTCTACTCTCTCTCTCTATTTTTCTCTTTTTCTCTCTCTTCCTTTTTCCTTTTTTCTTTTTTATTTTCTTTTTCTCTTATCGACTGTGGCGCCAACTGTGAGAACTGAGAAGATAGACTTGGACTACAATGTACCATACACTATACAAAGCATTCGGATCCATTATTTCTTTTTCCTTTCTCTCTCGTATTTTAGAATAGATTAAAATATAATCTTAGTTTATTCTGTTTATTGTATTTTTAATTTTTATTTATTTTTATTTATGTATTTAAAAAAATTCATTTTGGTTACTGTATTTTTTAAAAATGACAATTTTAGTCTTTCTTTGTAAAATTTTAACACAAATTCTACACATAAAATAAACCTTTTAATATTAAAACATTGGTTATATTTCAAGAAATATATTGAGTGTGGTATCGTATTAAAATTGTGATAAAAACAAATGAGATTAAAAATAAAAGTAAAGGACTGTAATGGTCACCTTTAAAAAATCTGGGGACCAAAACATAGAGACTAAAATTAATAAAAGTTGAAAGTATAAATATTAAAATGAACTTGGAGTATAATGACAACCAAAGTCGGAGTGTATAGACAAAAATAGTATTTTTTTAAAACCTTTAAAAAACATCCGTAGTATATTTCAACTAGTTAAGGCATGACTTATTATAGCTCAACTCGTTAAGGTATCATCGACCAAAATGTCAAAAGTTTGAATGTCCACCCTTACATAAAAATGGGAATACCAACGCATATGGTAGATTTATGCATGAAAATGAAATTATAAAAAAAAATGTCTAAAATTAGTATCCACGGGTCAAGATATGGGTCAAAACACCCATATCGAGTATGCAGAATGTACTCTTAGATAGCGGTGCTTTTACCCATTGAACTATGTTTAAGTTGATTTTTATTATTATTTTTTAAAATTTTAGCGTTGAACGTGGATTAATTAGTTTGTATTGATTTGTTCACTGATATGTTAGTTAGTATTAATTAATTCTTTTTCTCACATAAATTAATTAGTTATTATTGTCCAAACAAAGGAAACAAAAGTATTAGTTGCTTATTTGTCTGCTCTATGTTAGGCTATAAATAGTCCATTTTAGCATTGTATGAGAGCTTTTAAGTATTATTGAAATAGAGTGTTCTTAAATGTTTCTCTCAAATTGGGATGGATTTCCCAGTGTTATTCACTGTTGATCGCCAATGTATCCACATTTGTTGAATTACAATCAAAACAGTGCAATAGAAAACAAACAATAATAGACGGCAATTTTGAGTTTTTTTTTTTAAATGAGCCTCAAATATATTTTGTCCTCCATATTATAAAATACTTTTTTTTTCTAACTCAAACAATCCAATTGGTTAAAATATATATTGTTGGAGGTGATTTTCAGCTCTGACATGGCACTCGATTAGATAATGAAACTTACACGTGGTTTGATTGATAAAATCCCAAGTATCTCTGGCCTCGGTTTCTTCTTCTATGATCGAGCCAACCTCTTGCGTGACCGAGCCAACCAAGCTTACTTGAAATCTTGTTCTCATTCATTGGTTGAACCGATTGGCTTCATTTCAGCTCAGCCTCAGCCTTCAATAGATTCCACGACAACACGCCGCAAGACACGGTTATCTTAAAGAACCGTTGAGGTCACGTCGGGAACATTGTTGGAGGAGTAGCCTATAAATGGAACTCATTCTCCTCATTTTCAGGTACACGAACATCCATTTTTTCTCTGAGAAGTAGCTTGGGTTCTCTCTGACTTTGACATCGAAGTGTTCTCTATTTTGCAGGTCACATGTCGAGTAGACTCTAGCTCATCTGTCAGGTCAGCCTAGCTTCCGAGCTGAGGTTCGCAACTTGTTCAAATTCGTGATTAAACATATATTATTGGCAAAAAGGTCGGAGGTTTATGAATTAAAAAAACTAATATTTGTCTAGTTTTAATTGTTAAATTTTCATTTTAAAAAATGTTTAAATCATTCAAATATAGTTTAACTAAAAGTTTCATTCAATATCAAATTAAATGATTAAACACATGAATGTTATATAATTAAAATAAATTAATAAATAATCAAACGTGCTTTGTCACGATATTTTCGAATGTTTTTTAGTAAAATAATATGTAGAGGTGGAGATTTAAACCTACAGTCTTTCAATCAGGAATATATATCTTAACCAATTGATTTATGTTTACTTAACCTATTTTGAAAGGTTTATTAACTTATTAAATTCTGATAAGGTAAATTGAAATATCAATTTTTTTTTCTCTCCAAAGCTCAATAAATTTTTTTTTTCTGAATTACAAAAATTATTTAACTATATTGGCCTGCTGAAATAATTTTTGTACCATAAAATTATTATCTCATTGAAACTTACATATTTCAAGAAAATATGTGGTTTTGGAGCAGAGAAAGTGAATGGATAGGGCATTTATAGAAGACAAAATTGTTCTAGTGGTCGTGCGAGTTTTCATTGTCTATCACGCATCCAGGTATTCCTCGGATGGGTCCGATGGGACGTGTTGTTTTATGGATGAGATTTTTTCAGGCCCATTTATGGATCGAATGGGCCTTGGCCCAATATGTTAACGGGTCTTGTAGAGCCTCGTAGTTTCAGGCCCAAGGTCATGCGGTAAATGTTGATCGATGGTCAGATGGGAAGCCTGGCGTGTTCACGTGGCACTTTTTTTTCCCCTTGACAGTACGTGGCAACTATTAATTGCGAGACAGAAGATTTTTATAGTGAAATACAATTTTTATTTTGGACCATAAGCTCTGGATTTTGTTTTATTTTAGTTATTGTATTTTCAAAATATTTTTAAAAGGACAAAGAACACACAAATATTTTGAAACTATAAAGATTAAACTAAAAAAAATTGAGAGTACAATGACTAAAATAGTATTTTAATCTAATTTATTTCTATAATATATACAAATGGGAAATTTTATAGCTGGAGTACTATTTATATTCATACTATGACTCTTCGTTTGTAAATAATTAATTAGTTGATGATGTGTGGGAGAATATTATCATAATATGTTAATCGATGATTATTACACGTAACTAAACCTAGCACAATATATATAGTCTATTTAGTACACAAATGTGAGAGTGGAGATATGAACTGAAGTAAAAAATAGATATCTAAACTAATGACATATTGATGATGCTAATAAAAATATACAAACAAGTCATAGATTGTTATAATTAGTATTAAGATATTAACGTCTCGTCAAAAAGTTAAATATTTTTTTGAAATTTGTAATATTTTATTTTTTAGTTTAACCATAAGGTGAGGTATCTAATATAGTTTAGTAATGATAATAAATGTTTTACGTAGGTAAGTTACATTGGAATTGACATATTTTCATAGATTTATTGCTTGTATCAAATATACCAAGCTTTTCAACGGTGGAAGTATTGACACGTGCACAAATTTTTTATTCGACGGATGGATAACATAATGGTAATGGGGTTGAATTTCTTCAACAAAAAAGAAAAATAATAATAATAATAATAATAAATAATGTGAAAGAGAGAGGTGGGCACCAAATCTGAGGCTTAGAATGTGATATTTTTCTGTGACTAAGATCTAATCAATCTCAAACCACCAATCCAATCTATGGCTTTGAAGGCCAATGTTGGGGAAATTCCCTCCACCACAAGCAGCAGCAGATTTTTTCCCCTCATTCAATCTTTTGTAACTTGTAAGCAAATTTGTGAGGGTGGGAGAAACGGTAAATTGGGTAGGTATCAATCGAAAAAACCACTGCTTGTATGACATAGATAAGTAAAAGATAATCGAGAAATTAAGAGAAAATTACAACAGTAAAGAAAACACAATCATTTACGTGAAAATTTCCAAACTAAGAAACACCACGATCTATTAAGGAAAAATTCATTACGTAAAAAATTATTACAATCACACAAAATTCTCTCTCCGACCCAATTGTACAAAAACACTCTTTCAAAGCTTAAATTGTTTCGATTGAGATGAATAAAACCTAAAGTCATATACTCTTTTATATAGCACTTGTAACACACTATCTTTCCTATGATAATTTATCTTCTAATATTCTGTCACAAACTCTACAAATTTGAGCTTAATTTTAAAGATCAATTCTCCTACTCTCACATTTGTTTAACTAAAAAATAATACGGAAGGTTTGAGTTATTTTTTTCATTTGTAATATAATTTAGAAAGGAAAACATTATCCCACCTTGTATTAAATAGCAGAGCATTTTTTTCATTTGCTCTTATTTATTAAATGATATATTTTAAATATGTGGATAATTCAAAATGTGCCGATCAAAGTAGCATACTATATAATATTTTAAACATTGCAAGTGAATTATAGTAAAATCTTGTAGATAGTAAATTTTGAAATAAACTACTGTAATTATTGTAGATATCATAGTTTACTTCGTTAATCGATTAACGAGTTGCAAATTGAAAATAAAATCTAAGAAATTTAACTAATACAGTGTGATACATGTAATACTCTTATTTTAGTAAATAATATTTTCAACTTTAATAACAAGTGGCTAATGTGAGAGAAACAAATAAAACTTAGTGATTAAGTGAAGGGAGCTTACCTCAAATGGGGTGGAGGGGTTGATTTGATTTTATACGCGAAGTGTGATTGATTGCTACTTAACCTTCTTCTTTCTCAGGAGTCTTTATTAGATTAAGAATTTATTTGATAGAAATGTCTAGAACTCTAATTAATTACTGGTAGGATTTCGGACAAAGTGACGAGTCAATTTCTTATTCAAGATGGTCGACCAGTTAATCGAGATGATACTTATAGATAGAACTTTGCACCAATATGATATTTGGCTATATACATTTCAAATCTTAAATTAATACTTGAGTTTAAGCTAGTGTCTAGCCAAACTTGGTAAAATTGTGCAGAAGATTTCGTACCTTTTTGAATAATGAATGCCATCTTTTGAGAAGTCGTGTCTTTTATTAACCGATATAATTAATTATTTATGACATAATTTTGTTGTTAGTGGATAGTTAGTCACTTTTATATTCAGTTGGTATGTTGGTAAGAGTATAACTCTATCAATA